AGCAGAAGTAATCGCCAGAAAACAGGCATTTGAATGAAGAGAATCCAGAAAGACTTCTTGTAGAAGCTGAGACTTGAAGGAAGCCGGGAGTCGCTATGAAGAAGGAGAATCTAGTAACTAGGCAGAATCATGAGATGGAATGTCTAGTTTGAGAAAAGACAAGGAGGCCAGTGTCACTGCTGTGGGAGTACGCGGGGGAAGTGTAAGGTGTAAGAAGCCTGGGAAGGGGTGAGGGATGGGCTTTGGAGGCCAGAGGATTTTGGTATTCAGTCCTAGAGGTGATCGAGAGCCACTGGAGTTTATTGAGGAGGGAGTGATGTGGTGAGATCTGAGAGCACTTTGACAGCTGAGTGGAGGATGGACAGGAGTGGGGAGAGATTTGAGGTAGGCAGACCCACTAGCAGGCTATTGCCATAATCCAGGTGATGAGGCTTGTACTGGAGTAGTGGCAGTGTCAGAGGAGAGAAGGGGGCGTTTTTCAAAGATGGTGCAAAGGCAGAATCACCACACCTTGACAACAGATTGGATTTAGGACACTCCAGTACTTCAGTAGCTGAAGAAGAAAGCTCAGCTCTGACCAGTCAATCAAAAACTATTTATTAAGTGCTTATCATGTGCCAGGCAAAAACATGCCCTTCTCAAAAGGCATTCCCATCCTAATGGGGATCAGGATGTTGGTGGGATTCTTAATTAGGACTAGACTGGATTGAGGGCAGGGGTCCTTGGCCTTTTGTGTGTGTGTCACAGACCCCTTTGGCAATCTGGTGAAGCCTAAAGACCCCTTCTCAGAATGTTTGTATATAGCTAACATAAAATAGATAGGAATACAAAGGAAACTAGTTATTGAAGTGCAGGTACAGGAAAGATTTAGGGTGCGGAATGAGGTATGCAGACATATATGCATAACACATTCTTACATATACATCTGTACATGTGATATATACATATACATCTATATACATATACGTGAATATATATGTATGTATACACAGCCATTGAGGGAATTTGTTTTGCTTGATTTTCATTTGTGTCAATATATGTATATTTATATGTAAAATATACTTACTTTCCTTTCCTCCCCGTGGGGTGAAGGACAATAGGGAGAAAAAAATCAATTTGTTAATTTTTTTTTTAAAGGCAGGTGGGGTTAAGTGACTTGCCCGGGGTCACACAGCTAGTAAGTGTCAAGTGTTTGGTCTGAGGTCAGATTTGAACTCAGGTCCTCCTGACTTTAGGTGCAGTGCTCTATCCACTGCGCCACCTAGCTGCCCATTAATTTTTTTTAAAAGGAGAGGAGAGCTCCAAATGTGAAGTGTTACATACATTCCAGATGAAGATCACTACACTGTTACGCTGGCTATTAAACTGTACACTAACTGTTTTATTTGTTTTACTTTATTAGAAGAGATCACTTACAAAATGGGACTAATCTGCAGATATTTGTAATGTAAAAGCAAAACATATCAGTAAAACTTAATAATTTGGGGGGGGGCTAGTCAGTGGGGTTAAGTGACTTGCCCAGGGTCACACAGCTAGTAAGTGTTGTGTGTCTGAGGTCAGATTTGAACTCAGGTCCTCCTGAATCCAGGGCTGGTGCTCTATCCACTGCACCCCCTAGTTGCCCCTCAAGAGGAATCACCCTACATCTTTTATGTTTTTGTTTTGTTTTGTTGTTTTAATGGGGCAATGGGCTTAAGGGACTTGCCCAGGGCCATGCAGTGAGTGTTATGTGTCTGAGGTCGGATTTGAACTCAAGTCCTCCTGACTCCAGGGCTGGTGCTGTATCCACTGTGCCACCTAGTTGCCCCAACTTAGTAATTTTTTTAAAAAATAAATTCATGGGCCCCAGGTTTAGAACCCTCCCGCTCTAGGGGTTTGGACTGAGTTATATAGAGTAAGGGAAATCCGTAATCGATCTTTCTAAAGCTGGACTCTATGCCTGTGTTATGGACTTGTGTGTGTGTGTGTGTGTGTGTGTGTGTGTGTTTGTCTGTGTGTGTGTTTCTAGAAATCATTTTTACCAGTTTACACCTGATTTGACTGCTTCTTTCAGTGACGTTAATAATTGTGTCACCCTGGACAAGTCACAGCCTTAGTTTCTTCAGCTGTAAAATAGGGATGATAACAATAGCACCCACTTCCCAGAGTTATTGTAAGGATCGAGTGAGTTCATATGTGTAAAGTGCTTGGTGCAGGGCTTGGAACATAGCAGGTGGTTAATAAATCACCTTTCTCTCATCCCATACCTTTTTAGTTACCAGGTCCTCATGATGACCACTTTGACTTCCACACAGATCTCTTTTTTTCCACTCTCTTCTCACTACCACCATATTCACACAGGCCCTGGTTATTACTACCCTGGATTATTGAAGTATCTTCCTAAATAGGCTTTCTCAGTCTATTTTTCTGCCTCCCTCTTCCCCTTTCCCCCCTTTCTTTCCCAGTATCTGAGATTAATCTTTTTATACAGAACTGACCATGTCACTCCTTTGCTCAGAGATCTTCAGTGTTTCCCCTCTTGATGGCTGATTAAACTTCCTACTCCTTTTTCTGGAATTCAGTTTGACATCACCCTAACCTTTCCAGTCTTTTTTCATATTATTCCTTATCATGTATTCTGTATTCCAGGACAATTGGACGTATCCTAAGTTTTCTTGCGTCCGTGCTTGTTTTTATTCCCAGTGCCTGAGATCTCCCCCCACCCTTAATCCAGCTCTTCTTTGCTTGTTTGATTTCCACCTGGGGTGTATGAGGTGTTCGAGGAGGACTAGCGAGGTGTGAGGTCTGCTCATCCACCTTTGATGTGTCTACCTTTCACCCAACTCTCACTGATAGCTCCAAGAAGGTGCAGCATGTGCAGCAGTCACACCCTGGTAAAACTGTCCCAGCAGATGAGCTAAACCAGGGTGAGGGTAACCGATGGACAGTTTAAGGGGGTGTCTCTCCCAAACATGTGAAGATTCCCCCGGCGGAATGGACAGATGAGAACAGTTTGTTCCAGTGGCCATGAAGGCGGCTGAAGCAGGCACTGTGGAGTGCTTAGAGCTTGGTCAGATATCAAAGATGCCAAGATCATCTCCTGCATCCTGGGCTGTCTTGCAACTGGACTTTGATGACTCTGGAAGAGTGAGGCTGATGACTTTATTCAATTCTGCCTCACTTAAATCCAATTTGCAATGAGTTAAGACATCATCCTGAGATGTCATTGGTTCTCACTGAAAATGTAGGATGAACAAGAATTTCCACCCATAGCTTATAGGAATTACCTGCCCCCTCAAACTTCACATAGCATTTTGTTTCTCTCTAATACTGAGATGTGTATTTAAATATGTGTTCTGGTTCTCAGTATTGAGGGATAGCATGGTGTGTAGATAAGAGAGCTATTCTTAGAATCAAGAAAACTTGGGTTTAAGTCCTATATCAGTTACATCTCGACTGTATGACCCTGAACCAATCAGTTAAGTTCCTCTCAGAGCTCTAACCAGTGCTTCTTAAACTGTGCATCACAATCCTATGTGGGCTTGCAACCCACAGCTTAAGAAGTGCTGAAGGGGTCTTGAGTGGAAAAAGTTTAAGAAGCCCTGCTCTAAGCAACTCTTTAAGACGATATGTAGGGGCAGCTAGATGGCACGGTGGATAGAACACCGGCCCTGATTCAGAAGGACCTGAGTTCAAATGCGGCCTCAGACACATAACACTTACTAGCTGTGTGACCCTGGGCAAGTCACTTAACCCCGTCACCTAGCCAAAACAAAACAAAACAAAAAAGACTATATGTTGTATTTCTAGAGAAAAATCCTTCACTGGGATTGCCTAATATTGATGAAATCATAGGTCTCATTTATTTAAAAAAAAGTTATCTGTGTGTATGCCATCACCCTCCTAGAGTGGAAATTACATGATGGCAGAGACTGTATCTTATCTAAATTTTCTGTCCCCTAGTTTTAAGACAGTGCTGTACAAACATTTGGCACTCAATAAATGTTTGCTGAAATAAGTAACCTATGCTCATCCTTGCTGCCTGTAGTAAAATCATTACTGCCACACTTGAGAGTGACTCAAGCATGTGTTGCTGTTATAACCACTTCCATTTATGTTACTTTGCTCCAATTGTCCTCTGTGCCTGTCCCTACCTCCACTTCTTGGAATCCCTAGATTCCCCTCAGGGCTTGGCTCACATGCTACCTCCTTATGTGAGGCCTTTCCTGATCTCCCCAATTATTGATCTTTCTTTCTCACCCTCAACCCCTGCCATCACCTGTGATTATAGTTACATTGCATATAATTTATATATTCTTGTTTTGGTAAGTGTTGTTCCCACTGCCACCTCTGGGAAATTCAAGTTCCTTGAGTGCTAGGATGATTTTATTTTTGTCTTTGTATTACCAGTTCCTTTTACAGTGCCTGTCACCTCCACATTTGTGATTTCATCAGTGTCTAATTAGGGCATTCCTAATGTGGAAACTCACTCATTAATACAGACCAGCACCCTTGGTAACTTACAGTCTTAGAGAGTTGCTTTGGGTCCTCATAAGTTAAGTCACTTGCCCACAGTTATAAAATTAGTTTATGTCAAGGGTAGGACTTGAATCTTGGTCTTCCTGACTCCAGTACTTCCTGGAACATAGTAGAACTCAATAAATGCTTACTGCTACTACGAGTTACTATTTATATAGTGTTTGAAGGTTTGCAAAGTGCTTTACATATATTGTTTAATCTTTACAACAGCCCTGTGAAGTACAGTTATCAGAATAATTTTAAAAGTAGGTCCATGGTCCTCCAGGTTAAACTGGGTGGAGAAAAAAAATGAGCTGGAACCAGAAGGAAGAGGACGTCAGTAAGACTAGAGATGCTTCTGGAAAGTTAATATTTGAAGGGCGTCCACTCTGTTGATTACCACCTGGGAAAGAAGGGACCACAGACTGTCCAAGGGGGCCCTGATAACTCTCCCTCTCCCTTTTTCACAAAGTATCTAAAGGAAATTCGTTTCTTTCCAACAGGTACAGTGGCGTGATGAAACAGAAATCAGAATTAGAAGAGCTGGAGAGCATTTTAAAGGCGGAGAGAGAAGCTTTGCAGCAAGAAAAGAGAACGAATGTGATCGCTTCTGGAGAAAACCAGAGGCTAAGGGACGAACTAGAGAGGTGAGCCTCAGATTGGATGGTGGACAAAGCCAGTCTTCCCCCGGCATCTAATCATGAAACTAATCGGGCATTTTATTTGGAATAGATTAAGCAATGTCCTAGTAATCCCCTCATGATATCTTGTTTTTTCTTTATCTTGACCAAGAAAGCTTAACAGCTTGTTGACTGGTAATCTGTTTTTGTAGATTATAGATCTCCATAGTGCCCATAGTTCCCTGTGGTTCTCTATCTTTTCACCCAGTGATGACAGCCAGCGGTATGCTGGTAAATGTTCAACAACCAGATCTCTGAAAATTCAAGACACGCTTTTCAAATTTAGCCTACGTTAGCCCATCATTTGCTTAAGTCTAGACAATAAATCAGTCCCTGATTTGTAACATTTATCCATTTCCAAGGTGTGTATATGCTCACACTGAAAATTTAGTAATCAGAGCTTAAGGCAGCTCCTAATGACCCCCTTTCCCCAAGCTCAGTGGCACCTATAGTTCCTTCCTTTTTTATCCATTCCTTAGAAGCCCAGGAAAAAAAATCTAAAATTGAGCTGTGTGTCATTTTGAGAGGTTGAGGAGGGTAGGAGAGAAGCGGAGCTGTTTCATGAGGCTGTCCTCAAGAAGGGGCTTGGGTCTGGGTCTCTTTATCCTTTAAGGCAGGGATTCTTAACTTTTTCTGTATTGTACAGCTCTTTGGCAGTCTGATGAAACCTATGTGTTCCTTCTCAGAATATTATTTTTAAATTCACAAAATAAAATACACAGATTTAAAAAGGAAACTAGTTATAGTGAAATAATTATCAAAATATTTTTAAAAGTAAGTTCATTGCCCTCCAGGTTAAGGACCTCTAATTTAAGGGAAGAAAAAAGATCTGGAACCAGAGACAGGAAGATGTCCGACAGTAAGATCAGAGAAGGTTAATATTTGAAGGGTACCCCCTGTCTTGGTCACCACCTGGAAAAGAAGGAAACATGGATTCACCAAGGGGCCCCTGATGACTCTCCCCATTGATTTTTCACAAAGTGTCTAACTTCTCAAATGAATGTAAATCAACTGGGATTTTCACGGTTCCATCTTATTCTGTCATAGGTTTGTTTAGATAAGATAGGTCTAGGAAAAGAGAGGAAGAGTGTGTGTAGGATTATGGTTATATTTACTTAGTGCTGAAATAATGAATTTTTAGTCCAAGTAACCCAGGAACCCTATAGATAGATGCAGCCTTGACTTTGTGCTAGGACTTTGGCTGAATTGTAAGATAAGACTGGCCAATGGTCAGTGACTGTCCCACCCAGCCTTTAATGGTATGTTTGCACCAGTCAGTTCTCAATCAATCAGTAAGCATTTATTAATCGCCTACTTTGTGCTGGGCACTGTGCCTAAGATCCAAAGACACAAAAAGAGGCAAAAGACAGTCCCCTGAAGAAGGTCACAGTCCAATGGAGAGGGGACTTCCGAATACCATTTCTCTTTATTTTTCAGCAGATGGCGATAGAGAGAGAAATATTTCATATCCAGAATTATCAGTACATTTTTTTTCCTCTTGAATAATATTCATTTAGCAGCAAAGTGCCCTAAAATCTCAATCCCAGGAGAACCGTTTATACTGATGTGCCATATACTAAATTTTGTCCATAAAAAAAGGCAAAATCTTTTCTGACGAGTCCAATTAGATAATAACATTAGAAGTAATGGTAATTACAGGAGAGAGTTTGATTTTTGTTTTTGCATCTTGAACATGTAGTACAGGGCCTTGCACATGCCAGTTGTTTGATAAATGGTTGTAGACTTGGATTTACGTTACCTTTCAGATACAAAGCACCTTAATTTCTAGTCATTCATTTTTGCCTCTGGGTTAGAAAGGAGCAACTTGGCAAGGCTCAAGACTGTGGGAAAGAGTTAGACATTGAAGCATTACGGCTAAAATGGGCTATAGAGAGCCTCTGATCTAACTGTCTTATTTTTCATTGGAGGAAACCGAGGCCCAGAGAGGGTCTTCAACTTGATGAAGTTCACATAGGTAATTGTTGGTAAAGCCAGGCATGGAACCCCAGACCTTCCTGGGTCATAGATCATACGATCATCTGTTTAAAGCCTGGAAGGATTTTAGAGGCCATTGGAGTCTAACCCTTTCATTTTACAGATGAGGAAACTGAGGCTCAGAGGTTGTAAGTGACTCGTCCAGGATCACATAGCTAATAAAGGGTCTTCCTGACTTTAGTCTCAGGACTCTTATCTCCTATGCCACTTGGCTGCCCTGATTTCATTTGCTTTGTGGCTTGCCTGCTGACAGAGTGACCTTCCTGCACGGCCAGCTGAAGGGGGAGTATGAAGAGCTTCACTCCCACACAAAGGAACTAAAGACCTCCCTCAACAACTCCCAGCTCGAACTGAACCGCTGGCAAGCCCGATTTGATGAACTGAGAGAGCAGAATCAGAGCATGGACATCTCCATGACCAAATTGGACAACCACTGTGAAGTGAGTCTGTTCTCACCTTGTTACGCTGGCCGTCACCCCTGCCCAAGCTGACTGTTGAGCCTTTTAAAAAAAAAATGATTATTGCTATTATCGGATTACTGGTTTACAGCCGAAAAGGCCCCAAGCCCCTCCTTTTGCAGATGAGGAAACTGAGGCTGAGTGAGGTCACACAAGCAGGATTTAAACCCAGGTCTTCCTGACCAAAAGCTTAGCACTTTTTATTGACTGTATTAGCAAGCAACTTGTCTGGTAGTAGAATGAATGAGATGCTGCTCTGGAGACCTCTAGCTTGTACACCAAAGTGTCAGAATCCTTGGATTTGGAGGCTACAGTGTCCACAGGGAATTTTTATTCTGATTGACATGCTGAGATCATTTTTATGGAGGTTGTTGAGAGCATTTGAGAGACACAAAATCCCACAAGATTAGGTGTTGAGGGGGAACATTACTCTCTAGTCAGTTTTGGGTGGTGGTGTTGGGGGAATAACTGTTTTGGCCACATGGTGAGAAGATAGAAGGCCCAGATGTTGGGAAAGATTGAAGGCAAAGGGAAAAGGGGATGGCAGAGGATGAGATGGATAGAGAGTGTCATGGAAGCAATGAACGTGAGCTCGGACAGACGTGAGGAGATAGCGGAGGATAGACGGGCCTGGCCTAATGTGGTCTACGGAGTCACGAAGAGTCAGACATTGCTGAACAGCTGAATGACAGCAATGGGGGAGGTGATTTCAACTCTTGCCAAAGACAGGGAGAAAGCTATACTTTGGCAGGGTAATGGGTGATTTCCATCCCTTAAGGCATGTCTGCCTGACTTTTCCCATATGACCTTTCTGGTATAATATTTTTTGCTACGTTTGAAAAATAGCTTCATTTGCCCCATTCTTGAATTTGGAGAGACTTATAGCAGGGCTTTAGCTCCTTCCCAGCAGCGAAGAAGGTAATTAGAATTCAGGCATCTGGATATAGAAGACTTAGTTTCTTTTTGGAAGTGCTAGTCCATATGCTTCCCAAGAGGATAAACCTAAGATCAGTGATATTAGTACTTGAATTTGTCTGTTATTTCATGCAGTAAACTCTGTTAAGTACTTTTTTTTTTTTTTTGAACTGGAGAGCAGACCCATGATTTCATTATTGTAAGGAATTCTTAAGTGGAGAAAAACCTAATAATGCAGACTCTCAGTCCCTTAGTTACTTAGTCATAGATAAATAGAACAAGCATTTATTAACCATTTACTATAAGGCACAATGCTTCCTCTGTCACTTGGAATCATGGATAGACAGACAGACAATGTTTATACTTTGTTGCTCTGTGTGATATAAAGATAGAGCATTTATTAAGCGCTTACTATATACAAGGCAAATGCTAAATCTTGTGGACACATACAAACAACAACAGTAACAAAAACCTAAGATGGTTCATTCCTACTTTCAATGAGTTTCCATTCCACAAAAGAAAAACTTAAAACATAAAGTAGAACTGGTAAGTGGGAGTGGGGGAGGTATATCAAGATACTCCCCTGCTGATGGGAAGGTGGAGCAGACCAGATTGTAATAAGAGCTAGGAGATAAGTGAACAGTGTGACTGAGGCCCCCCAGGAAATGGTGATCCTGGCCAGGAGCACACCAATGAAGAGAGAGGTGTCAGGGTGGAATCATCCCAAGGGGGCTCTTAAGACAGATAGTTGGGAGATGGAACAGCCCAGAGAGTGGGTTGAACTGGGAGTGAATAGAATCCCTTCAAGCACTGAGAGGTTAAGTCAGTCAATCAGTAAACATGTATTAAGCACCTACTATGTGCCAAGTCCTGTACTGGAGGTTAAATGACTTGCCTATTGTCATACACATTAGTCAATGTCAGAGACAGGATTTGAACCTGTGTCTTCCTAACTCCAAAGCCAGCCTTCTATCATGAAGTACATGGTGTAAGCATTATTATCTTCATTCTACAGATGAAGAGGAAGCCCTTAAGGTAAAATGATTTGCCCTAGCTCTGACAGCAAGTTCATTTCTAGTCCTGGTGATTATTGCATTCTAGCGTTCGTTCCATAGCTCCATCTCTCCGTCCCCCCCACCCTTCCATCCATCCTTATTAATTCAGAGACTTTTACAGTACCAGACGTTCCTTGTGGTGCCTTGTGAGAATATGAAGTGTGATCAGGTATTTTCCCAAGGGGATGCTACTTCTGGGAATTCCCTAAAGAATTATAGTACTGGGGGCTGGAGAAATCAGAATTCCAGGACTTTTAGCAAAATCTATCAGAGGGTAGGGATATTATCATAGGTTAATAGGATTCAGACCTAGAAGAGATTCTATAAATCATCCAGTCAAACGCCCTCAATTTACAGGTTAGGAAACTGAGGAACAAAGAGGGGAAACGATTTGGGTGAAGTTACAGAGTTAATAAAAAGTAAAGCCAAGATTCAGATGCAGGCCTCCTGACTCCCAATCCATTGCTCTGTGGCGCCTGGAGTCAGGAAGACCTGAGCTTAAATTTAACCTCAGACCCTTAGTAGTTGTGTGGTCCTGGGCAAGTCTATCTATATCAGTTTCCTGACCTATAGAATGGGCATAATGATAGCACCCACCTCCCGGAGTTGTTGTAAAGATTAAATAAATTAAGATTTATAAAGCACTTAGCACAGTGCCTGGTATGTAGTAATTACTATATAAATGTTAACTATCTTCATTGTTGTTTTTTGTCATTATTATCATCATTGTTAAATGTTAGCTATTATTGCTGTTATTTTTTATTATCATTATCATCATTTGTTTAATTACTTTTACCATCAAACCACAAACCCAGTCTAGCCTGAGCTATTTAAACCCAGATTTCTCTCTGACTGGAAGGAGAATCTTTCTCAGTTTTTTGAGTGGGAGGTATAGCCTACTCTCTCATTAAGACAATAAGCTTACTTTTATCTGGAATTTTAAAGCTTATGAAAAGCTTGTGCCTCAACAACCTTGTGAGGTAAACAAGAGAAGGGTAATTATTCTCTTTTGACCACTGAGGAACCAGACTGAGGATGATGAAGGGATTTGTCCATTGTCAGTGGGCAGGGTAGGTGGTATATGACATAGGCTGGGAACAAGAATACTTCCGCAGGGTGTTTTGGTAAACCCAACCTGCATTACAAGATTAGAATGGCGAGTGAGTGGAAGAGTAAAGAACCCTTATTTTTGACTAAAGTCTGTCGTAGACCCAAAGTCTTTCTACTTTGCCATTTTGCTTCCCATTGAGATGATTTTTTTAATATTTGTTTTTTAAATTTTCGGATCCAAATTCTCTCCCTCCCTCCAGCGCCCCCCTCCACCCACCATGAAAGCAAGAAATACAATTCACATTACACACGTCAAGTCATTTAAAATCTATTCCTATGTTAACCATGTTTTTGCCAGAAAAAAAAGAGCAAGAAAAATAAAAGTGAAAAAATTGCACTAAGTTCATCTGTCCTCTAGATACTGTGCAAATATCGGATATTTCTACATCTTTTAACGCATTGCCTAGAACATAATTGTTGTTCAGTCATTTTTCAGTCGTGTCCAACTCTTTGTGACATTAATTTTGGGTTTTCTTGGCAAAGGTGCTAGAATGGTTTGCCATTTCCTTCTCCAGCTCATTTTACAAATGAAGAAACCAAGGCAAACAGGGTTCAGTGACTTGCCCAGGGTCACAGAGCTAGTAAGTGTCTGAGGCCGGATTTGAACTCAGGTCTTCCTGACTCCAGGCTCAATAAATGATTATTTCTCTTCCTCGTCTCCATCCCATTTTTAATCCCTAAGCTTTCATCTCTCTAGTATGTCCATTTGTTGTTAATTATATTTATGGGTTGTTGTTTTTTTTTGTGAGCTGCCAGTGTCTAATGAGGTAAAATACCATCTGGTGTTATGATCATCATTATCATGGTCTAATATATTAACTATAATAGATAGTCTAATTGTAGCCTCCCCCACCACAGGAAGAGAGAGATGGATTTGTCTCCATGACCTCTGTAGTGATACGTATGTCTTCACTCTCTCATCCTCAGACTCGGAATCTCGTTCCCCCCAAGTGGGAGCAGGGCAAACGTTCAGTGTAGAGACTGTCCCCCAGACCCTTGGCTCAGGGTGTAATACCGGAGCCTGATGGAGCCCTCCAGGCCGTGACAAGTGTCTGTGAGCTCTCCTTTGTTCTGTTTCAGCTGCTTTCCCGTCTCAAGGGGAACTTGGAAGAGGAAAACCATCATCTGCTGAACCAGATCCAGATACTGAGTCAGCAAAACCAGATGCTTCTGGAGCAGAACATGGAGAACAAGGAGCAGTTCCACGAGGAGCAGAAGCAGTACATGTATGACCGAGGCAGAGGATCTTATAAAGGGGATTTGTGTCTGCTGTGCTGGATGCATGAGGCTACTGTGCCTGCAGGGGGGACGGGAGTCGTGAGAACTCATGTTTCATGAAATTTGGTGGTTTTAATAGTGGGGGGGGCGGCGGCAGATAGGAACTCTACCTGTGAACTCCCAAGTGAGCAAACTCTTTTTGCCAGTGCTAGTCAGCCCCTCTTCTACAACTTATAGTCTTTTTAAAGTCTTTTTAAAAATATGTGTGTACATATATGTTTATCTTAAATATTTCCCAATTACATTTTTTTTAATGCGGCAGTTGGGGTTAAGTGACTTGCCCAGGGTCACACAGCTAGTGTTAAGTGTCTTGTCTGAGACCAGATTTGAATTCGGGTCCTCCTGACTCCAGAGCCAGTGCTTTATACACTGTGCCACCTAGCTGTCCCCCAATTACATTTTTAAAAAATTTTGACATTCATTTAAAAAATTTTGAGTTCCAAATTCTTTCCCTCCCATCCTTCCCCCACCCCTTGAGAAGGCATATAGTATGATGTCGATAATACCTGTGAAGTCATGCAGAGCCTATTTCCATATTAACCATGTTCCACTTAAAGAAATCTATCTTACCTACAGGAAAATGGGGAGGGGAAGGGGACAAGAGAGCAGGGGGATGATAGAGGGGAGGGCAGATTGGGGGAGGGGCTAATCAGAAGCAAACACTTCTAAGGATGGACAGGGTCGAAAGAGAGAAGAGAGTAAATGGGGGGCAGGATGGGATTAAGGGAAATATACTTAGGTTTTCACAACATGAAAAAAAAAGAGTTGAGTAGAGCAGTGAGAAGTTAGGTGATTTGCGCAGGGTCACACAGTCCAATATGTGTCATAGGTAAGACTTGAACTCAGGTCTCCATGGCTTCAAGACCCATATCTTGTCTCCTACACCATGCTGCCTTTTAATAATAGCTCATATTTGTATACTCTATTAAGTTAGAAAACAATTTACATGTTTACCTCATTTGATTGTGATAGCAGCCCTGTAAAGTAGATTGTGTAAATATTACTAAGTGGTGTAGTGGATAGAGCACCAGACCTTGAATCAGGAAGACTTATCTTCCTGAGTTCAAATCTGGCCTCAGAAACTTACTAATTATGTGACCCTGGCCAAGTCACTTAACCCTGTTTGCCTCAGTTTCTTTATCTGTAAAATGAGCTGGAGAAGGAAATGGCAAACCTCTCCAGTGTTTCAGCCAAGAAAACTCCAAATAGAGTCACAAAGAGTCAGACATGACTGAAAAAATGAGTGAACTGTAAATATTATTATCCTCAGTTATAGATTAGAGAAACAAAATCCAATATAGTTCAATGACTTCTCCTCAGTCACAGGGCTAATCAGGGGTAGGGTATCTGCAGCCTTGAGACCACATGTGTTGCCTTCTAGGTTCTTGGGTGTGGCCTTTTTATTGAGTTCAGGTTTTACAGAACACATCCTTTTATTAAGGGGATTTGTTCTGTGAAGTTTGGATTCAGTCAAAGAGCTGCACTTGGGGACCTAGAGGGTGCCAGTGCTAATATTAATGATAACGAGTCCAGCGTTCATTTTGTGGCGCCATCTTACTTTTGTAGTGGAGGATTTTATTTGCCCAGTCTTCTTATTGACCCTGCCTCTGGTGAATTTGACTTGGCATTTGGGGGTGTATTCTCTATTTCTGGCAACTTATGTACCTCCTCCCCCTTCCTTTTTTAAAACCAAGATGTATAACAGAGTTGTTAGTTAGCAGGTGTCTTTGTCATATGGTCAGGAGTCCCATCTTATTAACACACCATTAGCTTTTTGACAGCAAACTTCTCTGGGGGCCTGGCAGGAGCCAGAAGTGCCCTATAGAGACCCCTCTCTCCCCAGCGTGACTTTTCCATTCATCACTGGTGTTATTTATCTTTGTTTGATCTACAAAAACTGTATCCTAGATCCAAAAGACTCAGTGTCATTTCTGAAGCTGATAAGTTTTAGTGATTTTTTTAAAGCCAAAACATTGATTGGGCTTAAAAATCAACCATGCACATTGGTTTGTGCTCAGTGCTAAAAAAACATTGTCATAGATGTAAAAGACATCTAGCAGACAGCTGAAAATATGTAATACATTCTTCCTTTCCTTTCTGTTAACCTTTTAATAATAATAATAATAATAATAATAACTAATGGTTAGCATTTATACAACTCTTTAAGTTTTGCAAAGTGCATTACAAATATATCTCGTTTGGTCCTCACAACAATCTTGGGAAGTAGGTGCATTTATTATCCCCTTTTATGGATAAAGAAACTGAGACAGATGGAGGTTAAGTGACTTTCCCAGGATCACACAGCTAGTAAGTTTCTGAGGTTGGATTTGAACTCAGGTGTTCCTGACTCCAGGTTCAGTGCTTTATCCACTCTGCCACCAAGCTGCCTTTCTCCTCCAAGGCTGCCTTAAAAGTGAATTTTTGCAGTTGAAGTCAGAGGATATTAACTGCAGTTGCATTCGTTCAGGAAATGTTTAATGACCATCCACTGTGCCATATGGCATAGGACTTGGTGCAGTGTGGGAATACAGAGATGGGTTAGCAATGGGCTGTTTCCAAGGAATAACTACAGAAGTTCTACTCTGTTACATCATCATGGCGTGAAGATGACTGTATCAAAAATTTAGGGCTTTGAGGGATGTTCGAGGTCATCATTTCCAACACCCTCATTTTACAGACGAGGAAACAGACGTGCAGCTGACTGGGTAGCCTATCAAAATTAGTCTATCACTGTGTATTCTGGCCAAGCACTTTAGTTGTGCAGTGAACTGCGTCCAGAACTTGGGGAAAGGGAATCAATCCAATTTGTATTGTTCAGAGCTACAAAAGCATATCTCTTTACGACTACTGTCCTCCCCTTGCTGCTATCTAGACATGAATACTATGGTGTTGGAAAAATTGGAATCACAAGTAACCTGAAAGGGCAATGAAAAGAACTCTGGCATACATAAGCAAGCTGTAGGATGTTACCAGTGATAACTTATTTGTGAGAAACATAGTTAAAGATATCACCAAGCACTTGGACGACTGGAAAAGTGATAAAATACAGACCCATTAAGGAGGGAGAATGAGTAACAACAGATGAAGGCTGGAGTGCTACGCTGAAATACCCGAGGTATCAAAGGAAACAAAAGAAACCCTCCACCATGTTGGATTGACTCCCTGTGAAGGACGCGGACAAGAATCTTAACAAGATGAGACGGCGTAGAGGTTGCAGTCTATATCATTGGAGTAAATTACCCACCCTAGTCAAGTCATAGACCTATCAAAGAGATTAAATATAATACAAAGCAGCATTTAATAAGTACCACTGTTGTGGTGCATAGAGTGATGACTTATGTCTGGGAGAGCGACGTTGAGAGATGATATCATGGGATTTTGACAGGCGGCAGTGAGGAAGGCATTCTAGATAAAAGGAACTGAATGAGCCAAGGTGCAGAGGTGGGCAAGGGCAAAGTATTTTAATAGAGTCACAACCAATCCAAGATAGTCAGAGCATAGGATATGTAAAGTGGAAAATAAAGACTAGAAAAATAGATGATAGTGATATAGTGGAGTGACTTGAATGCCAGGCTGAGGAGTTCAAATTTTTGTGGGTAGACAGTAGGGAGCTCTTGATAGTTTTTGACCAAGGGTGTGTGGCTCAATCAAAGCAATGCTTTGTGGATGTTTAGGAAGTTCAAGACAGAGGCTGGGAAGCCAGGCCTAGTATTTTATAAGGGAATTAAACACAAATCTCTCTCCACCTAATCTAGATTAGTTTATAACATTATTTAGTGTCAAAGTCCAGATATCTTATGAATTCTAAATAATGATGATGTTGGCTTCATAAATAGACCTTGGTCATACTTGTTTGGGATCAATCATTCAGCGAAAATGGGAGATTATTACTTAATCAGGCCTGTTAGTGTTGACATCTGTGCTAAGTGAGTGACACATTAATATGTTCTTAGAGAGTAATGACTGAGATAATAAAGTAGAGGGAAAATATGGAAACTTTGTTGTTCATTCATATCAGTTGTGTCTGACTCTTCGTGGCCCTGTTTGGGATTTTCTTGGCAGATACTGGAGTAGTTTGCCATTTCCTCCTCCAGCTCATTTTACAGGTGATGAAACTGAGGCAAACAGGGTTAAGTGACTTGCCCAGGGTCACACAGCTAGTAAGTGTGTGAGGATTTGAACTCAGAAAGATGAGTATTCCTAACTCCAGGCCTGGTGCTCTAGCCACTATACCACCTGTTTCTACTATATTTATGCCTGTTAGATACAGTTGTTTTTGTTTTAAATTGTAAATAATTTTTAAAGCCAGGTATATCTACTGTTTGATGTTTTACATAAAACCACGATACTGTTTAGTATTTGAAGTTATAAAAGGCCGTAGATTTTTGGAGCTGAGAGAGTAGTCCATATTATACCCTCATGTTTAGATGAGGAAAGGGAGGCCCACAGAGTCTCATGACTTGCTCCAAGTTCACAGGTAGTGTATATGTGAGACTTTTAGTCTCAGCTCTCAAGAAGATTTAAGTACTAAAAGTCACTTGAATTTTCTGAGTCTCCGTTTCTTCATCAGTAAAATTCAAGGGTTGTTTTAGATGATCTCTGAAGTCCCTTTCATCTCTAAATCTTAGGATCTCATCCATGACTTTAGTTTGGTTCTGCTATGGGTCTCAGCTTAGGGGTTCTTTTAAATATTAAAACAAAACAAAACAAAACAGTCCTAACATGACCAAGGTACATCCTCAAGTGGACATAGGTCAGGAGCCCCATTTTACTAATTTTGCTTTCTTCCAGGGTTGAGTCACTCCAAGTCTCTTCATTTTTAATGTTTCCCAAGGGTCTGGTACAGTCTTATGTGTGCCAAATGGGCATCAGGAACTCTTTATTAACTGACTAGTATTGCCATCAGGGGTTTTAGTCTTTTTAATTCAGACAAATGGGGAAGAGAGGTTATTCCCTTGAATTTTAAGGTACAGTTAGAGGTGGACATACTGAAAAGGCATTTAGAGGGGCTGCAGTGCTGAGATCCCACTGAATATTTATGTTTGGTATTTCTCTGCTGCTTAAACAAGGTCAATTTAATTTTTATACCTTTGTTTCTTGCTGTTTTCCCAGAGATAAACTGAATGCCTTAAGAAGACATAAAGAAAAACTAGAAGAAAAAATTATGGATCAATATAAATTCTATGATCCTGCTCCAAAGAAGTAAGTTTAATGAAGCTATGTTGCTATTTGCCTTTTTTTTTAAGCTTTGACTATGCAGGAAGGAGGCATTGTGGTACAGAGGGAAGAACACTATCTCTGAGGTCAGAGGACCTGAGTTCAGATCCTACCTCTGATCTTCATTGCCATTGTGACGTTGGGTACAAGTCACTAACTTCCCTTGGCCTCATTTCTCCCATCTGTAAAATAAGGGCGTTGGGCTTGATGACTTCTGAGGTTCCTGGAGCTTAAAAATCTATATTCCTGTGAGTCATAATAGTTTAAGTGGGACAGGGATTAGAAAAGTGCTTATTCAATTCAAAAGGAGATGTAGAACTACGTGTACTTTGTGTATTTATCACTGGAAAGATAACATGCACAGAAATCCGTTCAGCCCTTGGCTGTTGAATCCCAGTTAAGGGCCCGTTAGAAATATAAATTGGCCACACCAAGATACATGTTCCAGTTTAAGTGCAGCCCCATTTGTAGGCCCAGTTGTAGAATCACCGTCTCAGAGTTGGAGGGAATCTTAGAAGGGTCATCTGGGACAACCTCTCCCTGAAGCAGCACCCCCACCCACCCCCTCAACGTTGATGAAAAGTGGCCATGTGGTCCCTCCTCAGAAGCCCATTCTGATGGTGAGGAAGCTTTTCCTTATATTTAGCTTTTAATCTCATTTGCTTTATTTTCCATTCACTGTTTCTGGTTCTGGCCTCTGGGGTCAAGCAGAATTCATTTTGACAAGCATTTATTAAATCTCTCCTATGGGAAAAAAAATGCTGTGCTGCATACTAGGCATACCAAGAGGGAAAAACATTAAAAGCCTTGTCCTCAAGGAGCTCACGTTCTATTTGGAGCTGCAGCATATGAACATAAATAAAATTCATGATTATTTGAGGAGGGAGAGGGCACTAACCACTGAGTGGAGTGAGGATGGTGAGAAGACTTTTAGGTGATTGTGTCTAGCTAGAAATGTCCCATCCCCATGTGTTAGCCATGCTCTGCTTTTTCTTTTCTTTATTTTTTCTTTTCCTTCCTTCTCTTTTGGTGCATTGCGCCTTGGTAGGAAGCTGCTAATTACCAGGCAAAGGCAAGTTGAAAAGCCCGCTATAAATATATGAAATAATATACAGAAGGCCATTTGCCATCACATTAGTGGAGTTGGCCATGAGTGCTCCCCATAAAAATTAGTGAGGATGGAGGATCTTTGAAGGGCATGGGGAATTTATCAGTAATAAGCACAATGTTCGTCTTCCTGTTATTGCCAAGTAACTGCTATATATGTACAAATTATGGCCTGGCATCTGTAAGTGACATGTTAAAAGGGCTAGAGGAATGCTTTCCCAGGTTTCAGGTTGTTAGAAGAGAACAGAGCATTCCTTGAAGAAAATCGAAGTGTTGCTTTAAGGTAAAAATCAAAGAAGGAAAAGGATTTGGAGAGGATGCGTGGAAAGGTACCCTGACCCTTTATCAGATCAAGAAAGGAAAAATTCTGCCAGAGAACGAACTAGTGAAATATCAGAGTTAAGTAATAGGCTTAGTTGTAAGCCTATTATAATATTTAGCAATAGGTAATTAATAAGTACTGAACAATAAATAAGTACTTAATTGAGAATAAATATTAATAATAATAATAAATAGTAAGACTCTTCCTGTAATAATGGCAGACTTTCCTCCTTAAGGAGACCAGGAGTGATGGTTTGAATCCACAGGTAACCTTCAGAAGACAGGTCATACAGTTAGGGTCAAAAGAAGGAATGGTTAGTGGTGGTTGGTGAGTCCCTGCAGAGGAGGACCCAGGAAACTGTTTGTCTACCTGGTAGTAGTAGAGAGATCTTTTGTCTTTGTAGTACTTAGGTCAGACATGGTGGATTCTTTCAAACTCATGATCGAGGTTCAGAAATACATTTATCAGAGATTTTAATGTCCTAGGAAGGGAATGGAAGTGTTTTCATCACTGCAGATGGTAGGTTGTCACATGCTATGTGACTTGCCCAGGGTCACACAGCTAGTAAGTATCTGAGGCCAGATTTGAACTCAGGAAGATGAGTCTTCCTGACCACCCCCTCGCTGCCCTCAACTATACAAATATTAGCTAGCTGTCATTGAGAAGCATACTGTCCTGGACTACTCATGTGATATGTTGTGCTCCATCAGCCCTAGTCAGATGACATCTGGAATGTGAAGTTCCATTCTGAGGAGCACATTTTAAGAGCACAGGTCCATTGACAAACTGGTGTATTCCAAAGAGAAAGCCTAGGTGGAGAGCTAGAAGAGCTCAGGACTGGTGGAAGGGTTCTTCTCGGAACTGTAGATGTTGTGTCTGGACAAGAAAAGATATAAGGAAGATGTGACAGAATTCTTAAAATATTTAAAGGAAGAGATTTCACTCATTCCCTTTAGGTCCAAGTAGAACTACGAGAAACAATAGATGCAGGTCTTGAAAGGCAGAAACTTCCTAACGGTCATTGAAAAGTAAGATGGCAATTGTAGTTGGTTTCCTCTACACGAGAACATTTCAAGTGATGGCTAGATGACACCTTAAACATGGTAGGCAGTTTGAAAATGCTTGTCAAATTGAATCAATTACCTACAAACTATAGGCTTGTTGTGAGAGTTGATTGGGCACTTTTGGTGATGTCTTGCTAGCTTTGTTTTAAATTCTGGTTCCTTAGACCTCAGAGATGCCAGATAGATGGAATGAACTATTTCTAAGGCATCTCCTCTACCCTGGGCTCTGCCATTAACTTGTTTTGTGACCTGAGGCCAGGTACCAGAGACCTCTCTGCTTGTGAACCTGGTCACTGGGGAATACAGTCTGCCGAGGAGAGGAAGAGATTCTAGGTCAGGGGTGGGGAACCTGCGGCCTCGAGGCCACACGTGACCCTTTAGGTCCTCAAGTGCAGCCCTTTGACTGAATCCAAACTTCACAGAACAAATCCCCTTAATGATAGGATTTGTTTTGTAAAACTTGGACTCAGTCAAAAGGCCGCACCCTAGAGGACCTAGCAGTCCACATGTGGCCTTGAGGCTGCAGGTTCCCCACCCCTGTTCTAGATCTTATCTATTCCTGATTCCTGAAATTCTCCCACCTCAAGGAATTTGAATATTATAGCATGAAGTAGCATGCTAAATGAATGATCTTGTCTGTGTGCTTTTCATCTTACCCATTTCTCTGATTCCTTTTCAGTTTCCTGAAAGGTAGCCAAACAAGCAGAAAACTGTCTTAAAGTCAAAATGGCACATAGTAGTGATTCCTCTTTGAGATACATCTCTTTAAGGGATCATGTAATTTGAGAATTATCTGATAAAATCTCTTCATTTTACAGATGAGGCACCCAAAAAAGAAGTGTACAAAGCTAGATAGTAACTTAAGTCTTCTTATTCCCAGGCTAATCCTGCTTCTACTGTACTAGGATGAAATTAGCTGTCAGTTAACCACAAGCTTATTATCCAGTCTGTAAATTGTTGTTTTTGTTGTTTTCGGGCTAACTTCCATTTCATTCAACATTCTAGGCCGGAGTCTCTTTAGGAAATATCATTTTGTTCTATAATTACAATGCTGTGTCCCTCTACTAACTCAATTATTTGAGAATTGACTTTATTTCCTTTGAAATAATTCTCTTTTAGACCAAAAGGGAATTTGGGTTTTAATAATGACACTCACTGTACCACCCCAGCCCTGTGCCCAGCTTGTTAAATACCCTTGTTTCCCTGCATCTCCAATGACCGACCCAGCCCCCACATTGATATTTGAAGGGTTGAGCAGCTTCAAGAAACACAGCTCCTAAGGGTATCTTATAGTAGTTTCTTCTTGAAAAATCTCTTTCCAAATAGAAAAAACCACTGGATTGGAGCCAAAGCCTTAGTCAAACTCATCAAACCAAAGAAAGAGGGTTCAAGAGAACGCCCCAAATCAACTGCTGATAGCCCTCCCTGGCAGCTGGAGTCCACAGATCCTGCTTCTCCATCTGCTTCCCAGCATCTCAAATTACAGCCAGAGACTCCAGATAATGTTGCTGCTACAGGTTCCAACAGCCAGGATGAGAGAGATGCGCATAGTGGACCTGGGGGCAAAGGTAGGCTTTTCCTTCCCTTACCCTGACTTACCCTGGTCCCAGTTTGGGTAACATGCTAAATTATTGATTAGATAAGTGGAAAGAGTGAAAGAGAGAGAGGGGGAGAGAGAGAGTGTGTGTGTGTATGTATACACTTCCAACTCAGGTAGGGATTCTATGACAGGTTATTTTCCAAATGGCAAAACATAAACATGTATCAGTTGGTCTTAAAGTTCTGTCATGTCCTAATGACTCTTTCATTATAGAGCCGGAAGCATTATTTACCAGGTAGGAGTTCTAAACATTTGCAACTGTCATCCCAGTTGGTACATTAGAGAAAGTGTGCCTGTGTATGTTTTTATGCCCACTTAGTATTTATAATGAAATATTTCTTTGTAAAGAGCTAATACATCTTCACATAGCCTGTACGAACCCTCAGGATCTGCACAGAATTCCTGGGCAGGTTTGTTTTAAGCTTTATTGATATTACAGAAGCAATCTATTAAGTAACATTTCCTTGCCTGTACTAATGATACTTCAGATTTGTAAAGCACTTTACAAAGCACTTTTGTCACAACCCTCCCAAGAAGAGACTATGTAGTTGGTTCAGTTATTATCCGATGTTACAGAAAAGAAAGTTGACACTCAGGTTGGTGGGGTTATTGGTCACATGGCTAGTATGTAGCACTGGAGTGAACTCCATTATAATAAATGACAGCCTATGGCTTAACCCCCCCAGGTCTTCCCAATGCAAGTCCAGTGTTCTTTCCAACGCTCCATGTTTCCTCTCCAGTTTAATTTTCTTCTTGTTGATATAGACTTCAATTCCTCTTACAAAACAAATTTCCACATTAGTTATGCTCCTTCAAAAAAAAAAACACAAAAATGTCTCAATTGGCAGTCTAAGTCCATCAGATCTCTATCTGGAAGTGTTTCATCATGTATTTGGAATTGAGAATTGGAATTATCGTGAGTCATTGTGTTAATCAGAGTTATCAGATCTTTCCAAATTGATTATCTTTACAATGTTGCTGTCATTGTAAATTATTCTTCTGGTTCTGCTCACTACACTTTGAATCAGTTCATAAATATCTTCCCAGGTTTTTCTAAAACCATCTCTTTCATTACTTCTTACAGCATAAGAGCATTCCATCACATTCATAAATGATAATTTTTTTGGCCATTCACCGCTTGATGGGCATCCCTTCAGTTTTTTATTCTTTCATGTGGCGAATTGTTTAGCCCAACATACAGCTGCCTCTAGTGATTGCCACTAGGTACATATCTTCAGATATAGAAACAGTAACACATACATATCTATGCAAAAGTAATATATGTATTCAGAATTAGGGGATCCTACTTGGTCTACCCCTGGCTCTGCCGTTAATTTGTTCTGTGACCTGAGGCCAGGTCCCTTCTCTCTCTAGCTTCCGTTTCTTCATCTCTGAAATGGGGAGTTTAGACAAGATGGTCTTAAAGGACCCATCCACAAGTCTGTGACTTTGGTCCTTGTGATGTAGCACAAAACCTTATGCAGATAAGAGATACAGATGTAGAGACTTTCCTACAGACCTGTAAAAATTTGCCATGGGCCAGTGCCCATCATTTTAAAATTCTGGATTAAACCTGATACTGTTTTTTTAAGGGAAAGGAAAACTCTGATACTAGTGAGTGTATTACTTTTTGAACTAGGCCCATGATTCCCATTGATATAGGTAGCTTCCAGCTTGGAAATGCCCCTTCCCAATGCACAATGGCCCCCACTCTATGACTTAGAGAAAGTTACTTGGCATCACTGCAAAGTTTAGTAATTTACCCAGGGTCACACTGCTAGTATCTATCAAAGGCAAGACTTGAACTAAGGTTGTTCTGACTCTGAAACCAGCTCTCTATTCACAATGACTTGGACCTACCAACCTTTTTAGATAAATTAGGCTTTTTAAAAAAACTAACTTGATTTTTCTACATCCAGACATTTTTGTTTCTTGATATGTGTGATGTAACATTATAGGCGGGTAGTTTGGTGCAGTGGATAGAATGTTGGACCTGGAGTCAGTAGGACTTGAGTTCTAATCCAGCTTCAGAAACTTACTAACTGTGTGACCCTGGGCAAGTCACTTAACCCTGTTTGCCTCAGTTTCCTCATTTGTAAAATGAGCTGGAGAAGGAAATGGCAAACCACTACAGTATCTCTGCCAAGAATACCCCAGATGGGGTCATGGAGAGCTGGAAGCAACTTTAGAAATCACCTATTTAGTTAAGCTTCCTCATTTTATAGATGAGGCCCAGAGGAGGAAATCCATAGGATCATTGATAATCATAACTAGCATTTATGTAGTACTTTTAAGTTTGCAAAGCACTTTATATGTTTTATCACTTAATTCTCACAACCACCCAGTAAGGTAGATGCTATTATCATCCCCCTTTTTGGTGGTTGTCCTTTATTCTTGAAGAGGACCAAAATGGCATCACTATGTTGAGATCAGTGTACATTGTGGCCAGCTGTGGCTAACATAGACCAGTACGAGGTCAGAAGGCTCTACAACAGGTTGGGGATAAATAGTTTGTATGAATATTTGGAGTGGAGATGTCTCTAAATTTGTGCATCTCATGTTTCTTTTGAGCCACTGATATCCCCATTTTATAGATAAGGAAACTGAGTCTGAGAGAGTGACTTGCCCAAAGTCACACAGCTGATGAATGTTTAAGGCAAAATCCACATTCAGGTCATCCTGACTCTGTGTCCACTGTGTTCCTTTGCTGCTCCTAGAGCCAGACACAGAACTTATCTCGTCCAACCACTTTACAGATAAAGAAACAGAATGAGGGAAATTAAAGGGACCTTGCTGAAGATAACACGTTTAATAAGTAGCAGAACAGAGGTGCTAACCCAGCCCCTCTATCTCCAAATCCAACCTTCTTCCTCCATTCCAGTTTGCGATTTGTTGTAAATTGGCTTTGTCAGTTATAATGAGCCTAAATCCATAAAGAAAACTGCAGAAATTAAATGCCCATCTAGTCCATCTTGGTAAACTTACCCATGTGTGGGGAGGTTAAAGAACATTATTTTGTAGCTATTTTTCCTTTTTCAAGCTCTATTCCATGCTTGTAAAATATCTAAATTTGATACTACAGGCTCACCCGTTCTCTGCCACATTCTGATAGCTCAAAGCATCTCAAAACATGCACCAGGGAACCAGGGAAAAGGAGCAATTAGAAGAAGGGAAGGACTTGGCACAAAGGAATAGGGATCTGTTTTGTTCTTGTTGTTTTAGTTTTGTTTTTTAAAGTTTTAAGAAGTAAAGAGCTTTGTTAATATCAATTCTGCAGACCAGTAAAATGTGCCGTGGACCAGGGTTCTTGGTTTTAAAATTCCAGATTAAACCTAGATTACCATTTTTAAAAAAGGAAAGGAATGTTCTGATTACCTCCAAGACCTCCACAAACTCAAAATAAACCTAATGGATGTTACCAGGACCTTGGTTCCTTTACAATCCGTGAAATGAAACGTCATCAGTAGATGGCACTGTTGTTGAAGAAATTATGGCAAAGGAAGAAAAAATCTACAGTCTGAACTGTTAAAATTGTTGGAGGGAATGAGAAGAAAAAGTACAAACCATGGTGATTATCAACTTAAAGTTAGTTTCCTGAAGTCCCAAAAGTCCTTGTGCAGTTTAAACCAATTAAAAACTTAAATCTGATTCACTCAAACATTTGGGTAAAAATAATCATTGATTAAAATCCAGAAATATAGAATTGAGTGGGAGGGTACTGGAGCAGAAAAAAGAAATTATAGCAGTATAGAGTTTGTTGGATTCTTTGATAGGTTAAAGGAAAAAAAGCAAATCAGAATTCAGACTAAAGAAATGTTTTCATAGAAAATCAAAGAAAATTGGAGTTGTGCTTCGGAATTAAATTTATTAAATTAAAATTTTAATTTAAAATCAAATTTATTAGATTAAAAATTCACTTCAATTGATTGGAAAACCATAGAACATCTAGATATTCTATCAGGAAGAGGCCTTGGGAATTTGTTTTTGCTGTTTTTACTGAAATAGCAACTGTAGAATTGTATTCTGTGCTCTAAATTCATGATTCCCTTCTATTTAATAACTAAAAACCGTTACATTTAAATATACTCCAGATTGTCTCACCAGTGGTCAGGGTATGATTCTCCACCAGTGCTGTATGGATGGATGAAATTTTGGCCTTAAAGAATTTGCCACACTGACAAGTTTGATCCCAGTCCTAATTGGGATCTGAGTACAGTGTATGACTTTTCCAACCAAATCAGTCAACCGTCATTCATTAAATGCTTTAGATATGCGTCACTATGCTGTAGGCCTTTCTGCTTTATGAGCTAATGTTGGGATCTTAAGTCTGTAGAGATAATTTTGTTTTCATTTCTGACATTTCTGTTCATTTCATTTATTTTGTTTTCTTTTTTTTGGGCCACCCGGGTGATGATAATTTAGCAGCACCACGCAAAAAGAGTCCCTTCTTGAGAAGCAAAAGCAAGGACAAAGAAAAGTCTCCAACAGCTCTCTCTAAACGCCTGCGATTCTGGTCTTCCTCCGACATCCCACCCTCTCCTAACGAGTCTCTCTCTTTCTCGGCCATTGGAGATTTCTAATACCACCTTTTCTTTTATCATTTTTCTTCATCACGTACCTTCATTCATCTCTGGAATTCCAAAGCAAAAACAATAGTGTAAATGCTAAATGACCAGTGGGCATGAGTGACCCTCCCTTCCCTTTTGATACCAATGCTATAAGGTACTCCAATCACAAACCCAAGCTAAGTTTTAACCTAGACAATGTGGATTGTAATTCCAAAGTAGAAGATGAGTTCTTACACCTGCTGGATTGTTTCTTCAGTGCATTAGTTTAGGGGAACCTCCTGGTACACACAGCACACGTATGTGTCTCTTGGACCAGGGCTCCATAGTAAGTGAGCAAAGTTGTGTGTGCTTCCAAGTCTCTCGTCATTGCAGGCTTATTTCATGTCCGGCTGTAAATTGGTATTGGTCAGCTATTGCTACACTTCCTAAAATGTAATGCTTTCCATAAAGTGGGATTTTTTAAAAAAAAACTATCTCTTGTGCAACTGAGTTTTAAGTCACCACCCTTTTCCTGTTGCCATGTTATAGTATCCTAACAAATGCGACCACCTGTTAATATGCTGCTCTTATTAAAAGCTCAATTCCCATGTCTCTATGTTCCATGTTTGTTTTTTAGGGATCTGCTGCTCCTTTTATGTATTTTGAAAAATTGGATCAGTCTGTCCTGGGACAGATTCCAGCTTAGGACAGAGCTTTATATCTATGAAAATTTTCTACGTAAAAATAGTTGTTGACAACACCAACGCTGTCAGGAAAAGGAAGAAACAGTCAGTCAGCACAGGCCTTTAGCTAAAGCACAGCTGCGGTTTTACCCTTTCTTTCTGTCCTTCTGGCATGTTTTCTAAGACCATATTATTTCTGTCCTCCATGCTAACTGCTCACTTCATCCTTCCCCATCTCCTCTCATCTCTGTCCTCCCTCCCATTTGGTCCTTGTTTTAACTTAACTCCTACATAATCTATGCAGATTCATTTCACCAAACTTGAATCTTGCTTCTCATCAAGGTTACCTCCCGAAATACGAAATGTGCTTAGAGCTATGGGCCATTTAAATGGTTGGCACATGGAGCCCAATTCTCTAATTTCTGAGAGGGTACAGAAGGTCAGGTGCATGTGAAAGAGACTCCAGATTGGGGGTAGAGAGGCTCTGGACTAAGACAATTGGTCGTATGATACCTTGGTCATCAAAATGAAACATTTTAGAATATTGTTGGTTTGCTTTTACTTTTCAGTTATACTACTGTCAGGAAAGTTTGGCTGTTGAGTTAATTTGTACTTTGTGATATAAAAAAACCATTCACGTTTTTGGAAATCAAAGGGAAAAAAATACAGTTTTTTTTCCTTTTGGGGGAAGGAATATGTATGATGGTCCACATTTTTCCTTTTAAAAAAATCATGAGGTGTTAAATCTTCTAAGATAATGAATAATACCAAGTATTATAGAAAAATCGCCCAACAGTCCAATTTCCTAAGCCGCTAAAGTTTCTACTAAAAGTTTTTTTTTTTTAAATCATAGAATTTTTTCAGGAGACACTATTTTTAAACGATTTTGAAATTTGGTTAAAATATTAAAAAGGGAGCTTGCCCCCAGCTAATCTTTTGGGGCTTATCTTCCTTTCTGTTTCTTTTCTTCAATACTTTCTTCTCTCTCATTCTTTGGTCTGTACCTGATAAGACAGGTAAGGGTCCATTTTAAAACAGGCCCCAAGAGGCCTTAAATGGAATCAGGTTTCCTTTGAAACAGACTACTGGGGGGAATGCTGATTAATAGTTTGTCCATCAAGCTGCTTGTTTGTGCAGTTCTGTGTGTCTGTCCTTCCTCCCCGGCTTCTTGGTTTTCTTTGTGATCGATAACCTGGGAGAAATCTTTTAACTCTTAATTTTTCTCCCCCCCTCCCCCATCCTCTGCTCTTCCTGCCACAGTCACCAGTGATCTGAAGCAGAAACGAGGTTCCCCTCATGGAGGCAGCAGTGACCACTTTGAGGGTTCCACGGACTCCATGGTCAAACACTGGCACACAGAGCTGAGCTCAAGGGCTCACTCCACCTCGGCCATCCATCTAACCCCTTCTAGCTCAACCCCCATTGCCAGGCACACAGGCCTACCCAAAGGTAGGTAAGAAAAGGCCGTCATCCCTGGAATTATCTGTTATCCATCTCGGGCTTGAAGTCAAGATTTTCACCTTCACTGCATTTTTGCATTCTGATTTCCAGTACATGTAGGAAAACATGCATTCCATTTCCATAAAAATTCTATAGAAACCCATCATGAGAAGCAGCCAACCTATGATCCATAAGCTGTTAGTCAACCAGACAATTTATCAGATGTGTCCTATATGCCTTTCACAGTTCTGGGCATACGTACCAAGACAAAAGTGAAAACTGTTCCTGCCCTCAAGGAGCTTAGTTTCTACAAAGGAGACAAAACATAAATAACCATATACAAAATGAATAAAAAGTAGTTTTGGGAGGGAGGCTGCTGGGGCCTAGGGTGAATCCGTTTACCAAGTATTTATTAAGCACCTACTATGTGCTAAGCAATATACTATAAATATAGGTAGGAGCGGCTAGGTGGCACAGTGGATTGAGTGCTGGGCCTGAGGTCAAGAAGACTCATCTTCCTGAGTTCAAACCTGGCTGGGTGATCTTGGGCAAGTCATTTAACCCTGTTTGTCTCAGTTTCCTCATCTGTAAAATGAGCTGGAGAAAGACATGGCAAATCACTCCAGTGTCTCTGCCAAGACAAACCCAAATGGGGTCACGAAGAGTCAGACAGGGCTGAAACAACTGAACAAATCCAAGTACAAGTACAAAGAATGAAACAATCCCTACCCATTGACAAGCCAGATGATCTCAAGTAAACTGTTTGCAGTTTGCTCAGGATTACTTAGCTTGTTGGAGAATAGAAAATTCCCAGGGTGGTGAGCAGGCTGAAATGAGGATGTGATTCAAAGCAATCTTTTGAAATTCCTAATGGGAAAATGTGGCAAAGCAAAATACTTGAGTACTGGAAATTATATGTAAATGGTCTTGGCATAAGATCAAGAGATAGCTAGAAAGGCCTTTGGAGATCATGTGCCACTTTTTTGCCCTTCTCAGAATAATGTTTTTAAATAATTGAAGGAAGTGCTACGTTTCTGTTAGAGGTTAGTGAAAATAAAAATTTATAGTTTTTACTTGTTTACAGGGCCACTGCCTAGAATTTCTCCATGGATCCCAAGTAAAGAACCCCTGATATGGACTTTTTCACATGTGGACTGAGGCCCAAATCAGGGAAATTTTATCCTCAAGGCCACTTAGCACTGTGTAGGCACTTAATTAAATGTTTATTGAATTGATTATAGGTTGTTATTGTTGTTTAGTTGTTTCAGTCATGTTGGACTCTTCATGACCCCATTTAGGGTTTTCTTGGCAAAGATACTGGAGTGATTTGCCATGTCCTTCTCCAGTTCATTTTACAGATGAGGAAACTGAGGCAGATCAGGTTAAGTGACTTGCCCAGGGTCACACAGCTAGTAAGTATCTGAGGCTGGATTTGAACTCCTATCTTCCTGACTCTAGGCCTGGTCCTCTATGTACTGTATCACCTAGGCACCCCTTGATTATGGGTAGTAAGTGAAAAATATAAGATATGTATCTTTGTCCTCTTTCTGTGAAATACCACTGAGGCAAACATTTGTAGCTCAGTGTATCAGTGTCCACTTTTGGGAGGACAGCTTTCAAATCCTAATTCATCTCAGAACCAGGGACTGTTTCAGAAAATAATTTTGCTTCCTACAGAGCTGGAGCCTTTCCCTCAAGGCTCATTGTTCTGGGCTGACCTACCACCTAATTATCTGTTTCAACTATGATGGAGCTATGTTCTTGGAGTGGCTTATGGCTTGACCCCATCAGGCCAGGCCTGATCCATTGTCATTTACAAAATGCTGTTGGGAGAGGATATTGAAGTGATTCCTACTCTTGGAACTGTGCACCACAGTCAGATCCAGTTAGAACTCGAACTGTTCTGTTTCCCCAACATTGATTCTTCAAGTAACTGAGCTTTTAAGTATCCAGAATACATTATACATGTATGCACGTAGAATTTTTGTTAGTGTGGAAGATAAACCTTTGTTTTGTAGGGGAAGTCATGAATTTTTGCCAAATTAGAATTGGACTGGTGCCTAGCTGGTTTTAAGAAGAGGACTTTTTCCCATCTTTTCGAAACAAAATGGGAATTAATTTGCAGCATTTCATTTCCTGATGGTTCTTTGCTGTTATGAGCTAATCTTACAGAGTTTAGTTTACTAAGCAGTTCCCTTCTCCCCTGGCTAACAGCATTTCCCTTAGCATGTTCTTAATGGAGCAGCAGCATTTCAAATAATGGTATTTCAATTCAATAAACATTTTTAAGTGCCCGCTATGTGCCAGGCACTATGCTAAGCACTGAGGATATAAAAAGAGACAAAAGACAGCCCCTGCCCTCAAGGATTTTATAGTCTAATTGTGGGAGACAGCATGCAAACAAATATATAGAAAGCAAGCTATGTACAGGATAAATAGGAAATAGTTAAAAGAGGGGAAGAGATGAATTTAAGAAGGTTTAAGGAAGGCTTCTTATAGAAGGATTTTAATTGGGACTTAAAGGAAGCCAGGGAGGTAAGTAGTTAGAGCAGAGAAAGGGGAGTATTCCAGGCATAGGAGACAGCCAGAGAAAATTCCAGGAACGGAGAGATCAAGAGTGTCCGTGGAAGAGCAAGGAGGGCAGTGTCCCTGGATTAAAGAGTATAGGGAAGAAGACTGGAAAGGCAGGAGGGAGCTAGGTCACAAAGGGCACCCCGAGAGTGGTGCCAGTGTCAGAATGGAGAAGGGGGCATATTTGAGAGATGCCACAGGGGTGAAAGCAGCAGACTTTGGCAGCATCTTGCAGATGGGGGAGTGAGAGAGAATGGGGAATCCAGGATGATTCCTGGGTTATGAGCCAGAGGAACTAACTAGGAGGATGTTATTGCCTTCCCAAGGTGGGAGTGGGTGTGGGAGGGTTTGGGGGAAAGATAATGAGTTTAAGGTGTCTGTTGGACACCTAGTTTGAGATGTCTGAAAGGCAGTTGGAGATTCGAGATTGGAGGTCCGCAGAGAGATTTGGGCAGGTAGGTAGATTTGAGAATCATCTCCATAGAGATGGTAATTAAATCCATGGGAGCTGATGAGGTCACCAAGTAAAATAGTATAGAGACAGAAGAGAAGCTAGTAATAATATTAATAGCTAGCAATTATATAGTGCTTTTAAAGTTTACAGTGTACTTTACATATATTACCTTATTTGATAATTGAAAAAGGTTCAGTTTTTTTCCTCTTGACCTTCCATTGTTTGGAAGCCCGTTACAGAAGGCAGACAGGTACTGATAGACGAGCTATAGCTATGTGTTTCCGGTCAGCTCTCTTTGACCAGCTGGTTTCTTGGCCCAGCTTTGCCACTAATAAGCTATAAAGACTTAGACAAATCATTTCACCTCTCCATGAAGCCATTCTTGGTCCTGGCAAATGCTAGTGACTCCATCCCCAAACTACTTTGTTTTCGCTTTGTGTATATTGTATAATATACATATTATATATATATATGTATGTATGTATGTATATATTATATTGTATAATATACATATTATTATTATATGTTATATATAATATGTGTTAGTACACGAGAGACCGTGGGGGTATGGTGAATAAATAATAATTTAATAATTATAGTTATCATTTATATAATGCTTTAAGCTTTGCAAAACAGTTTACAAGTATCTCATTTTATTATAATTATGATAGCTAGCATTCATACAATGCTTTAAGTTGTGCAAAGGCCTTTACAAATGTCTCATTTTATTCTCAAAACAACCCTCAGAAGCAGGTGCTATCGTTGTCCCTGTTTTACAAATGGGAATACTGAGGGAAACAGATTAAGTGACTTGCCTAGGGTCACAGAGCTAGTAAGTGTCTGAGGCTGAATTTGAACTCAGACCTTCCTGACTCTGGTCCAGCACTCTTGCCACCTGAGAACTAGCCTCAGAGCCAGGAAGATCTGGGTTCAAATTCTACCTCTGACACATACTGGCAGTGTGATCTAAGTGATCAAGTCATTTAACTGCAATACCCTGGGCAGATTTCTTGATCTTTATCTTGCAGAAAAGGCACTGATATGCCTACGTTGACAGAGGTGGTTTCTTCATCCAGGAGTTCACCATGTCATTGAAATCATAGGCTGTATCCCTCCCCCTGTCAAGAAATGTGGACCCATGCATAATCAATAATATGTTGCTTGTTTTCTCAAGGGCGGGGGAATGGGCAGGAGAGAATTTGGAATTCAAAATTGTTTAAAAATGAACGTTCAAAAGTTTTTTATGTAATTGGAAAATATTTAGCAAAATATATATTTAAATTTTTTTAAGTGGGGAAAAAAAAGGAAATGTGGACCCATGTATAATTGATAATATATTGCTTGTCTTCTCAAGGGGTGAAGGAAGGTTAGGAGGGAGAGAATTTAGAACAAAAAGTTTTTAAAATCAGGGTTAAAAAATTTCTTATGGAATTGGGAGATATTTAGCAAAATAAAATAGATTAAAATTTTTTTTTAAATTGGGGAAAAAGGGGGATGTGTACCAAGTTGATAGATTTTTGTTAATTAAAGATTCTGGTGAGCCTTTCCAGTTTCCCTGCTCCCTCTACTCTCTCCCTACTCCAAGGGAAATAAGTAAAAGTCCAGGGTGGAGAAAGACTAATTAATTACCTTCAGGGTGACCTCCTTTTGGTCTGGCTTTGATGCCAAAAAGCATGACTCAGTGGTTTAAATATTAAACTTCTTTTATTTTATCCTTAGACCAGTTTTCTCCAGAGCACCCAGAGTATCCATCTTGTTTCAGAGGGAAATAAGCCCTGTTAAAGGTTATAGAGGTAAATAGAAAAGAAAGGCCTAGACTTGAATGGAGAAGTAAGTCAGTGGGTTCCTAGAGGGAAAAGTAGAGAAAAAAGGCAACATGGCTTCCTGTCCTGGAAACAGCCCTGAGAATGGATCCCACTAGAGTTAGAGGGCACTGAACAGAGCTCTCATTCATTCCTTCAACAAGCATGTAGTAAACTCTTGCTGTTTGTAAGTTCCTGGGGAAACAAAAATAGACTGGGGGAGGGAGAATTTGGAACTCAAAATTTTTTTAAACGAATGTTAAAAAAAATTCTTATCTGTAAATTGGGAAATAGCAAAATAAATAAAAATATATTCAATAAGCTTTTTGGTCAAAGGCTGGGGACAGAAGAATTCACATATTTAGATAGTGCTAGTGCCAGTTACAATTGTTATCTCATTTGATCCTCACAGTAACCCAGGGAAGTAGGTGCCTTGAATATCCCCATTTTACAGATGAAGAGACTGAGGCAAACAGAGGTGAAGTGACTTGCCCAGAGTCCCACACCTAATTAGTGTCTGAGGTCAGATTTGAATTCAGGTCTGGCCCCTCTACCCATTTCACCACCTTGCAAAGTGCTCTAGGGAATTTGAATTTGAATTTCCTTAAAGGAAGGCAGGAAGGAATTTTAGTAGAAGAAAGGAGACCTGTTCCAAAGACATGCATTGGAGACATTGGGAGTAAGAGCACAGAACTGAGAGAATCCAGCATGAAACTAGGGGACAGAGAGTAATCTTGTGTGTGAAAATACAGGAATATGTGAAGGAGAGTAATAAGTGCTTTGCATGTGTTATTTCAGTTGGTCATAATAAGAGGTAAAACTGGAAAGGTATATTGGAGACATCGTGAGGATAGAAACATGAAGGCAGGGATCAGGAGTTTCTGCTTAATTCATTAGGCAATGTGGAGGCGCTAAATGGTAGCAGACAGAGGTCTCTGAGGTGAGATTTTGATGCCAAAAAGCCACTGACTAGCTTCCCTTTTCTATCTGTCTTTACTTCTCTCTCCCAGTCCTGCCCAAGATTTTTAAAGTGGTGGGGCTTCAGGTCTGTGGATATGAATTATTCTGATAATTTGCATTTTTTTCCACCTTAGGTTATAATTCTGATGATAACCTTTGTGAGCCAAGCCCAGATCTAGAGTTCACAAACCACAGGCAGCATGGTAAGTAGGCCACATTATGTCATTTGGCTAGGAAAGTGTCTCATTTTAGAAATGTATCCCCCACAAGCACCCAGTTAAATAAACATTCATTAAGCCTTTATGATATGAAAGGTACTATGTGTGTTAGGTGCTAGGCATAGAAAGACCCTCCCCCCACAAAAAAAAAGCCTTCCCTCAAGAAACTTGCATTCTGATAGTGGGGTGAGATGTCTGTTGTCCAGTTTTCCTAAGAACCGGCCATTTCTTGTTTTTTGTGTCTAGTATGGTGTCCAGTTTGGGACGCTCAGTAGAAGTGGGCATATGCCCTTGGGGAAGGAAACTCACTTCACTTATATTCCTCCTGGCTTCTAATTGAAGCTCCAGTCATTTGGAAGACTGCAACTACTTCACAGAGGAGGGTTGTGTTCTTAAAATAAGATAATGTATGCAGAGCTCCATGTAGGCCTTAAAGTGTGGTGTTCTCTCTCTCTCTCTCTCTCTCCCCTCCCCTCCCCATTTCTTCCCTTCTCTCCTCCTCTCCCTCTCTCCTCCATCTCCCTCTCCCTACCTCCTTCCCTCTGTCTTCCTTCTCTCCCTTCTCCCTGCTAGATGAGATATGTATGTATATATATGTGTGTGTGTGTATGTATGTCTATAATATTTGTGTATGTGTGTATATATGTGTATATATCTATTTGTCTCCCTCCTCTCTCCCTTTCTCTCTCTCTCTCTCTCTGCCTCTGTCTCTCTCCCTCTTTCTCTGTCTCTCTTCCTCTCTCTCTATCTCTGTCTCTGTCTCTCTCTCTCTCTGTCTGTCTGTCTACCTTTCTCTCTCTCTCTCTCTCTCTCTCTCTCTCTCTCTCTCTCGTTGGACTGGGGCTATACCTGTGATTTCATTCCCATAGAAGCCTCTCTGATGAGGAAACTCCCTTTACCAATTCAAGTCCACACCTTCTCTAGTCTCAGGGACTTGCCTAGAGCATTGTAAGGTTAAATGACTTATTACTCAGGTTGTATAACCAGTCTCTGTCAGGCAGAACTTGAACTCAGGTCTTCTTGGCTTTGCGGCTGCCTCTCTAGGCGCTATATCATGCTTAATATTGTTTTTATTGTTATCATTATTAATAATATTATTAATCTCATTTCTGAGGGTAGTTTCTTTGCAAAGGACCCTGTCTTATCTGATCCCTTACCATTCTGAAATCTTTATAGAAACACATGAAAGAGTCAGATGGGCAGTTTTCTATTTTTGTTAGGCTGGAAGCTGGGTTGTCCTCTTTAATCAAGTAGAAGTCAGAAGCAAATGAAATGAACAGGCTGAAGAAATACAATTATAAGTTGCGTTTCCTCTGACTGACTTCTGTTAAGGACATCCATTAGGTATGAGCTAGCTGTGCAGTCAAAGGGATGTGACTTATATGCTAATGACTCTATTACCAGACCAGTACATGTAGGAAGATATAAGCAGGGATGTGTTGGAGCCAGCTTATGAGAAACAATCGTTTTGATTTTCAGCATGAGCTAAAAATTGGCACCTCATAAATCAGCAAACCTACAAATCCAGGGCTTGACCCATTGCTCTGCTGATTGTCTAGACATAGAAAAGTGATAGAGAAAATATCAATAATTGAGATTATTTGGGGGGGGGCGTGGAGTCAGTTGTTAATCTTTACCAGCAGACCTCTGGGTATAAGCAAAGTACCCTGTGAGGTCTAAGGAAGGAAGGTTTCTTCAAAGAAATGACCTCTGGGGAGGATCTGAAGGATGGGTATTAATTCAAACTGGTGGAATAGCTGGGGCAGGAGAGCTCAGGGCCTGTTCCAGGGACATGGGAGTCCCTGGATTGGAGGAGTCCCGTTTGGATTGTAGCATAGTCTGACATTGAGTGTTGAGGAAAGAGGCACTGTGGGAGCTGCCAGTCATTCTCCAGCTTATTTAAGAATAAGGGTTTGCCCTCAGTACTGGCAAAAGGTGTGGCAGGAATGGAATGGGAAAGCTTTTATTAAGTACTTACTTGGTAGTAAGGTGCCAGTCATTGTAGTAAAGGAAAACAGTGGAAAATTGAGACATTTCCTGCTCTCAAAGAGAGGACCTGCTGATTGGAGGAGACAAAGGCAGAAAGTATGCCTAGTGCCCAGGACACCATAGGTGCTTAATACATGCTTGATTGATTTATACAAAAAAAAATACAACATAATTTGGGGCAGGCACCAGCAACTGGGGGATAGATGCTAAGAAAGTCACGATATAGGAAATTTCGTTTCAGCTGAGCTTTGGGAGATTCTGCCAGGGAGAAGTGAAGGGGGAGGGAGCACATTCCAGGCATGGGGAACAGCCAGTGCAAAAACATGGAGGCAGGAGATGGGGTGTTCTGTGTTAGGAACAACAGGAATGGATGCCATTTTAGCTAAACCGATGTGTGATCCTGAGCTCTTCACAGTAAATAATCCCTGGGATTTCCATCCCTCTTCACACCTTTCTTCCCTGACACCACCTGTTGAAGTTAATACCCATGCTTTAGAGCCCAACTACCCTGGAATGTCACTCCTTCAGAGAAACCTTCTCTATTCCCCTGCCTTCTGCCCTGTGGTCTGCTGGTAAAGATAGAACAACTGTATCTCAAAAAATGCCAAATGTCCTGCCCTATCCGTAGCATTTCCAGAAACGGAGCGGAGCTGATGGAAACCAGTTGTCTTTCTGTCTGGACTGCACCTGGTCATGCACTCTTTAAAAAAATATTGCTGTTCTCTTTCAGTGTCCCGGCCCCATAGCTTAGAGAGCAGCAGGACTGCATCAGGCAACAGCTCGCCCCTTAACCTAAAAGGTAAGCACCATGGTTCTGTTCCTGCTGGGTTCTTCAGGCTAAAAGTCTGCACAAAGGAGCAGTGACTAATGCCAACTCTTAGATGATAGTGTCTTCCAGAGGGTTTGTCAAATTATTTAATCTCTCTGGGCCTCAGTTTTCTAATCTGTAAAATGGGAAGATTGGACTAGATGATACAGTTGATAGAGTGCTGGGCCTGGAGTCGGGGAAGAACTGGGTTCAGATACAGGCCCAGGTGATGACTGGTTGTGTGACCCTGGGGCAAGTTACTTAAGTGCTGTTTATCTCAGTTTCCTCATCTGTAAAATAGGGATAATAATCTCATGTACCTCCAAGGCTGAAGATCAGATGGTATAATATTTGTAAAATGCTTATCACAGTACCTGGCACATAATTAGGCATTTAATAGTTACTTGTTTCATTCATTATTAGATTTGTGATAATTTTAATATTAGGCTAATATAATATGTAATTATACTACTTATTAGTAAATATAATTATTAATATTAAATAATAGCAATAGTGTATGTGGAATGTTATATAATTAAATATATTAAATATATATTTAATACGTAATTATATTGCATATTTATTAGATATAATTTAACTTTTAAGCAATAGTGATATTATTTAATTAAATATGAAATTATATTTAAAGTTAAGATCCTATTTAATAATGGAGTGCTAGATAATAGAAATTGATTTTATGAAGTTCTAATTTAAACCAATTTAGGCAAAGCTTCTATTATTTTAGAAGACAAGTATACTTAAAAAAAAAACCTAAGTCCAATGCCACCATTAAATAAAAAGAAATGGTAAAATAGTGAATTAGGAACCATTGAAAAGTCCTGGTGTTCTCTTGCTTGTCCGGATAGGTGTGTTTCTGAAAAGAGCTGTATTGAAGTAATACTTTTTGTAAATAAAAATCGTTTTTTTAAATGTACTAGATGAGCTCATTTTATTAAAGGAACTCTATAGGAAATCTCTTTGAATAAGGAAGAGCCATCCATTACTGTTTTATAAGGTTAGCTTTTATTTTATCTAAGTTGTTTGTTTTAATAACGACCAGGGATTTCACTAATAACAAAATCCACCAATGTGCCATAAATTCCATTTGAGTCTATTGTGTGTACCTAAAAGCTGTGCAGAGGAGAAATGAGATGAATTGAATTTACACCTACCATTTTTCCTTTCCTTAGGGCGGGTTAATTTGCTGTGAAATGATTAACTCAGGGAAAGTGAGAATAGCCAGGAAGAAAAGTAGCTAAAAAATCCATAAATGAAATCACAGAAACAGGTGGTGCAGTGGATAGAGCACTAGGCCTGGAGTCAGGAAAACCTGAGTTCAAATCCTCCCTTACACATTTACTAGCTGTGTGACCCTGGACAAGTCACTTAACCTCTTTCTGCTTCAGTTTCTTCATCTGTAAAATAGGGTTAATAATAGTACCTACCTCTCAGGGTTGTTGTGAGAATCAAATGAGATAAAGTTTATAAAGCGTTTTGCAAAACCTTAAAGTGCTAAATAAATACTAGTTATTACTACTAGTATTATAATTGGGAGGGACCTTAGAGACCGTCAAGTCCAACCCTTTCATTTTGCAGATGAGGAAACTGAGGCACGGATTGGTAGGACAGACTTGCCCAGGATCATACAGCTAGTAAGTGTCTGAGGTAGAATTTGAACCCAGGTCTTCCTGTCTCCATATCCCTCTATCTAATCAGGTCTAGGATTGAATGATCAAATGCCAGTGTGGGAGGCTTTAAGCACACCACACCCTTTTATATGTAGGGACAATTTAACTTTTTAAGCAATCTTTCAATTGTATTGTACTCCAGTACTGAGAAGATCTCCAATCTCTGGTGTGTATCACCCTTTGTATCTTAAGAGAAAATCTCATAAGTCTCTGTGACTTAAAAAAAAGTCCTTCTTTGGTTGGCAGCCACAGTCTGTCATTGGCAGGTCTGCCCAGAGGCCTTTCCTGCTTCCTAACATCTACCAGCACTCTCAGAAGCCCAAACGTGGCCTGCACGCGGGAAGGCATCAGTAAAGGTTTACTTTCAGTTATCTTGCTTTTTTCTTCTTAATTTCTAGTGAAAGTTTCAAATCCATTCCTTCTGAAAATTCCAAATTGTCCTTTAAAATCTAGTTTATAAAATCTTTAAAATCTAAATCGTATTAAGATCAGTAAGGTACTATATTCCTTTTAATATCTGTTCAAAATCAACTTATGAAATAAGTTGTCCATTGAAGACAGGAACACATATGTGCAATGTGGTGTTCTCTCCATACTCTTCCTCCTTCGGTTAAAATGTGAGCTCCTTGAGGGCCGGGACTGTTTCTGCCCTCTTTTGTATTCCCAGGACTCATCACGTTGCCTAGCATATAGTAAATCGCATAAATAAATACTAATAGACCATCTGACTGCCACCCCAATTCAGGTTCTTCTGATCGTATCCACGGCAGATCGGAGAGCCTTGGGAATGAAGACCTGGTCCCCAGTAGGGATGTGGCCACTTTGCCTCGAGACGTTGCCTTTGGTCGTTCAGCCCTGTCCATGAGCCGACAAGAGCATCCCCCACCCTGGAATGGGTCCATTCCACAGGAGTCTCTGCAGAAGAGTAATCCTGGCCAGCCTCATGCCGTCAGGCAAAACTCTGCTTCTCCAGGCAGTGAGATGGTGACTTTGGAAGAGTTTTTGGAAGAGAGCAACAGGGGATCTCCCTCCAATGTAAGTTAGGTGTTGCTAGTGAATAAGCAGCTTTGGTTTTCAGCTGGGGAAAGAGGTGTACCGGTATGCAGGAGGGACAGTAGCATGGTCCTATGGGCAGGGCTCTGGATAAAGACCCAGTGGTGGTTGATATATGATGAGGAATAATTCATTAATTTGGGGGCATCAGTTTTCCCAGTTGTGAATTGAACTGGTAACACCAATGGATAGGGGTAGCTCCATGGTACCGTAGATAAAATGCTGGACCTGGAAGACCCCGGTTCCGATCTAACCTCAGACAATTACTGGCTGCATGACCTTGGGCAAATCACTTAATCTCTGCCTCAATTTCTTTATTGGTAAAATGGAGGTAATACTAGTACCTACCTCCCAAGGTTGTTTTGAGGATCAAATGAGATAATATTTCTAAAGTGCTATGTAAACCTTAAAGCACTAGATAAATGTTAGCTGCTGCTAATTATGATGAAGATGATGTTTGCAAACTCCTTTGAGCCTCTCAGAAGAAAGGGAACATCATTGCCCCAAACAACAGAATGTCCCAGACCATTTTCCGTGGGGTGCCCTGGTGGCACCAGGCTTCATATTATAGATATTCCAAAGCAACCTTACGACCAAAATACCACCTGAGTTGTTGATCCAGGGATGCCTCATCACACCTTTTCAGTGCCTTTTTTCAGTCAGGTAACAGTGGAGTGGTAGGCAATTAGTGCCAGGGCTATGTCTCTCCTGACTCCCAAGCTCTGACGCTCATTGCATGACCTTCAAACAGTCATTCAGACTTTGCTTGGCTTCCTCATCTGTAAAATGGGGAGAATGTTACTTGGTTCTTTCAGAGAAAGCGCTTAAAGTCTTACACAGGTATGAGTTCTTATTCATGAAGATAAAATGCAAACAGTACACATTTATTAACTGCCTGCTGTGTGACAGGCTCTGTGCTGGGGATACAGATGAGATCATGGGTCTTTTTCAACTAGTGTTGTGTCATTCTAGTTACCTGGTGTAACATAATGCCTTTGATGGTTAAGAGAGCTCTTCTTTTCCAAGTTACAGTTGTTGGACTGTACCAGGGATGGGAAACCTGCAGCCTGGAGCCACATGTGGCCTCTAGTTCCTCAAGTGCGGCCCTTTGACTGAATCCAAACGCCACAGAACAAATCCCCTTGATAAAAGGATTTGTTTTATCAAACTTGTACTGCACCCAGGGACCGAGAAGGCCTCATGTGGCCACAGCTTCCCCACCCCTGGAGTATACCATACCTTCAAGGTATATCTTTCCTCCCTTTTCTGTCTAATCTAGAAAAAGCTGTCTACCCCAGCTGCCTCTGCTTCTACTCTTCTCCCTCACTCTTCAACCGTTTGCAGTCTGGCTTTCACCCTGATCACTCAACAGAAACTACTTTCTCTGGAGTTACCAGTGATCTTTTTAATTGCCAAATATGGTTGTCTTTTATTTTTTCTCATTTCTAGTCCTTCTCAGTAGTATCTGTTGCATTCAACACTGTTGACTACGCTTTCCTCCTGGATACTTTCTCCTCTGTGGGTTTTCATGATGCTTCTTTCTTCTTACCTTTGTGATCAATCCTCAATCTCCATCATTGGATCAGCATACACACTACAACCCCTAACTGTTGCTGTTCCCAAAGATTTTGTCCTGGACCCTCTTTTCCCTCTGTATTCTCTCTTCGTAACCTGGTTAATAACTTCATGGGTTTAATTGTCCTGTATGATGACTCTCAGATCTACATATCCAACCCCAGTATCCCTCTTACTAATTGTCTATTGGATTTTGAACTGGATGTGCCAGAGACCTATTAAACTCATTAATAATGACCTAATAAATTCATTATCTTTTGCCCAAATTTTCCTTTCTTGTGAACCTCCCTTTTTCTGTTGGAGGCACCATCATCCTTCAAATGTCTCAGATTTATAACCTTGGTGTTATGCTGAACTCCACATCGTCACCCCACATATCAAATCAGTTGCCCAATATTGCTATTTCTTCCTCCACAACATCTCTTGTACCCAAACCTTAGTTCAGGCCGTCATTACCTCTTACCTAGATTATTCCAATAACCCCCTAAATTGGTCTCCATGTCTCAAACCTCTCACCACTCTGGTCTATGCGATTCATTGCTACAAAAGTAATTTTCTTTAAGCTCAGATCTGACTGTGTGTCTTCTCTACTTAACCAACTCCAGTAGCTTCTTCTTGCCTCAAAAATAAAATATAAATTCTTCTGCTTAGCCTTCAAAACCCAGCACACCCTGACTGTAGCTTCTATTCCAGCCTCACTGAACATTAATATCCCTCCTCCTATGTGCTATCACTCAGCCAAGGTGACCTCTCTGTTCCTCACTCGTGGTGCTCTGTCTCCTGTCTACTTTGCACTGGTTGTCTCTTATGCCTGTAATGCATTCTTTCCTTACTTACGCTTTTTTTTTTTTCCAGCCAAAGACAAGATTCATTAAAGATCCGCCATATTGGCCAGACTCTTAAGGAATCTAAACATTTGTGAGCTATTGACTAGGTTCTTAAGGAATCAGAGCCTTTGGCTAGGCTCTTAAGAATCTCAGCCTTACTTAGATTTTTTAGAGTCCTTCCCTCTCCTCGGGAAATATCTCAATCACATCTTCTTCATTGTGCCTTTCTTGATCCCCCCAACTGCTAGTATCTTCCCTCCCATAGTACTTTGCCTTTGTCTAATTTATGTGTACATGCATATATGTATTTAATAACTTTATGTTTATGTTGTTTATATCTTTCTATATACTTGTCTTACCCACTAGAATGTAAGTTCGTTATGAGTAGGGATTGTTTCATTCTTTGTATTTTTGTAAGTGTACCCCTAGCAGTTAACACAGTAGCCAGGAAAATAGTACATGCTTAATAAGTGCTGGATTGTTGATTGGTTAGGGCTTACTAATAGTATGATTAATTTTTGATTATCTGCTCTAATAAGGTAGATAGAGTAGCAGAGAAACCAAAACTGGATGTCCTATTATGTATAATAATTCTTCAGGGATCCTTAATTTCATCAGTAGGGGTACCCCATTCTTTCCTCACAGTGTAGACTGAAATGCTTACATGCCTTAGTAGACACTGAGTTGCTATGACTGAAAAATATTCTTGGCCTCAATAAACATAACTAGGCTTGTCTGAGGCAACAGATTTTTAGTACATCATCAGTCCCATATTCAGGGTTCCCAAGTTGGTAGGACCTATCCAAGCTTGTGCTTGTGGTAGGATCACTTCCACAACATAATGAGGCATTCATTGGAGGAAAACTTAAGTAATGCAATCTCAGGGTACACCAATTAGAAGTATATGGTTTATAATAGAGGTTCCCAAACTTATTTGGCCTACCACCCCCATTTCAAAAGAAAATTACTCAGTGCCTCCCTGGAAATATACTTTCTTTAATGCTTTAATGGTTTTTTCTTAAATTTCATCATTTCAAAAAAAAATAAGATATTTTTTAAATGACACATCTTAAATTTAATAATTTATTGTAAATTTGTGGGGGTTTTCCTGCATTGCAGTTTTGATGATACAATATTTTGTCATGTAACCGTATAGTATTGTATTGTAAAAAAGTCATTACATGCCCAACAACACATGACATACTCGCCTGCCACCACTTGCTTGTTAAGACCTGTTGGTGTACTTGACCACTGATCAGTTATAACTTGGATTTTGTATGTTTATTTGGAAAATAATGTAATCACTATGACTTTAACTCTAGATGAAACCTGTGCAAACAGTTTTACAAAATTTTCTTCTCTTCTCTTCTTTCCTTATACTTCCACAGCCCCCTTATTTTTATTCAGTGCCCCTCCCAATTGCACCCGAGACTACTACCGCCCCCTGAATCATTTCAGTGCCCCCCAGGGGGTGGAATCGTCCACTTTGGAAACTTCTGTTTTATTAATGAGGGAGATGATAATGTTGCTTTACTCTGGCCTGATTTCACCACCCCAAGAGCATTGCATTCAGTATTAGGCACCACATTTGCACAAGACTGCCAGATCAGTTTAGGCAGGAGAAGAGAAGACTTAAGAGGGAAAATAGTTATATTTCAGGGGTTGTCCAGCAGGAAAGGGATTATATTGTGTATCTCCTTGACGACCCAAACTAGGGCCTGTGGTTGTAGGAAGTTGTAGAAAGGCAGATTTCAGCTCAGTGTAAGGAACTGTATAATATAGCCAATATTTGAATGGACTGTTTTGTGAAGCATCCTTTTAATAGACCTTTTGTGTTCAGAACACTGTGCTAGGCATTAGGAGAAATGCAAATTTTAGAGACCATGTGGTCCTCACTCGTGGAGCTTACTTTATAGTCACTGAGGGGGAGATAGATGACTAATATACTATTACCTGATGAGTGCATGTAGGAATTGCAAAACAATTTTTTAACAATCCAAAGGAGGAAATTATTGCTGAAGAGGAGGGCTCAGCAAAGGCTGCCTGGAATAGGTTGCATTCAGGTTGGAGTTTAAAGGATAAGAGCGAATGCAAAAGATGGAAGAGAGAGTATATGGAATATCATGAGCATAGTTACAGAAGTAAGAGACTCCATGGTATATGTTGTAAGGCAGAGCAGAGAGTAGATCAGCTTGGCTGGAGAAGAGAATGCCATGGACGGTGACAGGAGATGACCAGAAAGCTAGCATCAGCTACACACATACAAAGGAAGTCTCTGGAGGTTTTAGAGCGGTGGATGTCATCATGGCTAACTTGGTTTCTATATTTAAAAAAAGATTATTTTCTCATCAGTGTGCAAGGTAGTTTATTATGAGGAGAGGTTGGAAGCCCTGGCAGGTAGGAAGCTGGTGGAGTAGTCTAGGGTCCGGGTGGGCAACAGGTGCTCAGAGTGGCAGTAAAAATAAAGGGGAGATTTGGGAGTTGTTATGGAGCTTAAATTGGCAGGACTTGGTGACCGGAGAAGGGAAAGTCAACAGTAAGCTCAAGGTTTCAAGTGGTCGTGTCATAAACAGACATAGTGAAGTCAGAGGGAGGCAGAAATGTGGGGCTGGAGTGTGGGGGCATAAATTGGATCTCGAGCCTGTTGAGTTTGAGATGCTAATGGAAACCCAAATTCAACATGTCCAAAACAGAACTTGTTGCTTTTTCTCTCCATGCCCTCAACCCCCTCCTTTTCCAGACTTCCCTGTTACTATCAAGGACACCAATCATTGAGGTTCACCACTTTGAAGTCAATTCTCACACTCACCCACCTATCCAATCTGTTGCCTCTTGTCATAGTTCTACCTTCACAACATCTTTTCTATGCTTCCCTTTCTCTCCATGTATGTAGCTGCCACCCTGGTGTAGGCCCTCATTGTCTCATGCCTAGACTGCAGCAGTAATAGCTGTCTGGTTGATCTCCCTCCAATCCATCCTCCTTTCAGCTGCTAAAGTGATTTTTCCTAAAGCTCAGTAAATTCTATTGATTCCCTTTCATCTTCAGGATCAGATATAAACTTGAAGCCACCTGGTCCCTTCCTGCCTTTCCTTATCTACCTATGCTTCTTGTCCTCCACTCCCCTTCATGACCCAACAACTGACCTTCTTTCTGTTCCTTGTACAAGACACTCGCATTTCCCATCTCCATGCTTTTTCACTGGCTAACTTCCTCACCACCACTGTTTTTCCTCCTTACCCGCTGCTTTTTCTGACTTCTTGTAAGAGTCAACTCAAATCCTGCCTTCTACAGACCTTTCCTGATCCTCCTCACTGCTAATGCCTCTCCTCTGAGTTTGCCTTTACTTACACTGTCCATATCTTATGTATACATATTTTTATGTTGTCTTTCTGTTTAGAATATAAGCTTCTCTAAAGCAAGAAATATGCTTTTACCTTTGTATCCCAAGAGCTTAGCACATAGTAAGCCCTTAGTAAGTGTTGACTGCTCAACATCCAGGTAGAAATTTCCTCTAAGTAGTTAGAGAAATAAGTTAATAGATTTAAACCACAGAGACCATCTAGCCCAACTTCTCCTTGCTCATTATATAAAGAACTAAAACTCAGAGAGGGGCTTAAACCATGGTATTTCTCACTTCAAGGCCATCTCCATCCACCATATGGTGATAGAGCTCAGAGGAGAATTCAGTACTGGAGGTGCAGATTTGAGAGTCATCTGTATAGAGGTGATAATTGAAGCCATTGGAGTGACTTGAGATTGGGGAGGGAGAGAGTGTAGAGAAGATTGGAGAGACAAGGACAAATCCTTGGAGAGTGTGTATTAAGCAGTTTGTCATCAAAGTAGACAGAGAATGGACAGCTGGAGAGAAAAACCAAGAGGGTGGTGTCCCTGAGGCCAACACAGGAGAGAATAGTGGGTGGGTGTCAACAACTGCAAAGAGGTCAAAAAGGATGAGTATTGACTTCACAATCTCAGATTCAGTGAGTAACGTAATTGGTGACCTTTGAAAGAGAAGTTTCAGTAGAGTGTTGGGGGTGGGAGCCAAATTTAGGAGAGAGTTGAATGGTTAGGAAGTGGAGACAATTCAATAATAGGGAACTTTTTTAGAAGGTTAGCAGTAAATGGGAAAAGAGAGTCGTCATGGTAGCTGATTGGAGTGGATGGGTCATCATTAGAAGGGTCCAAGCAGAGTTTGGATGACCATTGGTCAATACTGAGGGAAAGCTGCTCAAACCAGGGTAGTATGTGAAGCCAAACTTCAGTCCCCAGCCACTACTCTTGGCTCTCCAAGATTAGCCCAGCTCCCCAAAGCCTGCCACTGGGCATGCTACCCCCTCCCTTAAGTGGCCCAGCTGGTAGGAGTGCTTCACTAAGCAGAGCCTTCATTCTGGCTTCAGCAGACTCTCAGGTTCCTTCCTCCCCGAGATACAAGATTGTGTCATGATAGGCACAATCAGCTAGGAGAATTGTAAAACAGTCCTTGACCCCAAATCACTGATAATATGACTCTTGTATGTATTATCTCCTCTAGTCCTATGTATTACATGACTTTGTAGAGCCTTCCCTTCCTAAGTATGTTTTAAGCACCCACTCTGTGCCAGGCACTATGCTGGAGACACAGATAGTCCTGCCCTCAGGAAGCTTATATTCTTTTTGGAATGCCTGTTCTTTAAAAAGAAAAAAAAGAAAATTAAGAAAAAGGGGGCAGCTGGGTGGCGCAGTGGATAGAGCACTGGCCTTGGAGTTGGGAGGGCCTGAGTTCAAATCCAGCCTCAAACCAAACATTTGACACTTACTAGCTGTGTGACCCTGGGCAAGCCACTTAACCCCAATTGCCTAAAAGTTAAAAAAAAATTTTTAAAAATGGAATGCCTGTTCTTCCTAAGATAATTAATTGGTGGGAGGTAAGAGGGGAGGAGGAGGCAGCCCAGAAATTGTCTGGGTGACTGGGAACAACAGCCAGACTGGTATTAAAAGTATATAAAAGATATAATCTAAAAATTAGATCACCTCCATTCTGGTCATCGTGCATTACCTGTGTTACCATATATCTAAATTTGTTTTCATGATCACCATCTGTCTTCAGTCCCATTCTCATTCTGTCCCATTGCTTATTCCCTTTCAGTGCCGACACAGCTTAAAAGAGACTGAAATGATTTCATTGCAGCAGTTTCTGTTAGAAGCTGATTCACTGTACCCTTCTTGTCATTCCCCTCCTCCTTTCTTCCAACATCTGGAGCCTCGGGGCCTGGAGGACCCAGTCCTTGGGCCTGCAATTCGTGAAGAGATGCTGAGGCCAGGCGTGGGCAGGGCCAGCCGGAGAACGACTTCCCTGTGTCTCCCAAGGGTACCCATCCCCGTGCTAACACCGCTGTCACCAGGGCCCCTGACTCACCCCATCTCGAGTAGGCTCATTGGCACAGTTGGCAGCCTCACTCTGGATTTGCATTGATGCTCACAACTTCTTGGAGGAATAACCTAAATAACTTATGCTTTCACTGCTGGATAAGGATGGTGTGGGATGGCTGTGTCCTAGTGTGGGACTCCGGTCGACTTGGGCAGCCAGGTGGGAGAATAATCCCCGTTAATTAGAGGGTTTTTTAAAAATTATATTTGTCAGGATATTGGCCTTGAAGTCAAGAGAGCCCAGATTTGAGTACAAGCTCTGCCTTTTCTCTTTGTGACTTTTGACAAGTCATATCACCTCAAAGTTTGTTTTCTCTGTAAAACAAAGGGTTTAGACTTGATCTCTTACGGGCCCTTACAGCCCCAAAAACCTATGATTTATCTGAATCCCAGGTTTTGCTAACCACGATGGCTGTGGCCCGCTCCAGCTCAGGTCGTAGTAGGTTCCTTACAAGTAGGAATTATTTCATCCTTTGCATTTATTGTCCCAGTGCCTGACACGTAGTAGGTGCTTAATAAATGTTTGTTTATTGGTATAGCTTCTTCATCACCTTTAGCACAAAAACATTTATAAAAGCCAGATTAAGCTCCTTCTTAAGGTGTAGACCCCAAATTGCTGAAACCCTCTCTAGAAGCTCACATTCACTAACAATTCACGGTTTGCTAAGCCCTAACAGCATCAGCTCCTGAAGTCTAACTCTCACATCCTGCATGAATTCACCTGCCTTCATTTTGTTGTCATGTGATCATAGGGCAGGGGTTGGGAGGGTTTAAGGGAAAATGTGGGAGAGAGAGGGTGGGGGCCAATGTCTTCCTCAAACAACTCAAATAAGACTTGCTGCTGTCTGTAGTGGCTTTGAGAAGTTCTGCAGATGCTACAAGATGTGGTCAAACCTTGCCTTATATTTTCTCCCTTTGCCACCAGGTTGGTGGTAAAGGCCTCTCTGTAGGGACGGAAGGCACTGATGAGTTCACTGGATTGGGCTGAAATGGTTCTGCCACTCAGGTAGTGGGGGCCCATGGATGCTGCTGCTTGAGTGTTTAGAAATTGGCAATTAGACTGGTCAGTCAGGATGTCGCAATGTAATTCTTTCACATGCATCCCGTCGATGATCTCTTTAGGTTCTCTAACTTTCTCATTCTGTCTTTTTTCCTATCTCCTTTTCCCTTTCCTTTATTTCCCTTTTCCTTCCCTCTTCTTTTCCGTCCCTCCTCTTTCTCCCTTCCCTCCCTTTCCCCTTCTCCCCTTTCTCCATCTCTTCTCCTGCTTCCCTATTCAGGGTAGTTCCTTACTAAAATGAAAGGAAGCTGTTAGGATGGTGAGTACTAGCAATCCTTCATTAGACAATTTATGAATCATCCTTCCCTTTTGCTAACTCCGGGTAATTTTGATGCTCACTTACATCTTCAGGTTGCAAACAAAAAGCAGTAGAATTCAGACCAGTCGGTTTTCTAAGTCTTTGACCGGTTGAATACAAGAGAAAGAGAAGTTAAAACTGGTAACCACATATTTGGGTTTTAGTCCTGGCTCTGCCACTAATTAGCTATGTGATCTTGGGTAAGAAACTTTCCTTCTCAGTTTCATCCTCTGAAAAATAAGAGAATTGGCTCACATAGCTCTTTCTGTCTCTAACGTTCTATGATTTTCTTTAAATCCGTTATGGAGTCTGATTCTGCAGATTGTCCCTCTCATCCACTACCACAACTAATTAGGTGAGGATTTCCCACAAGAAACAGCAGGGGCAATTCATTTTGATTCACTTTGGCTCATTTGTGTGCTTTTTGTTGAACACCTTCCATGGACCATGTGTAGAATTCCATTGTGACACCCTGGGACAGAAAATGGATTTTCAAAAGTATCCCTTTATATTCTCATGCACTTTGATTTTTCCTCCCTACTTTTCCAGGATACTTCCACTGGCCGGGACGACCTGCTGAATGACTACTTTAGAAAAGCCAATGATCCTCCTGCCATTGGAAGCCCACTGGGTCCCCCTGTCAGGAAAGAGGGAACGAAAATGCCCACCAACTTTGTGGCACCCACCATCAAAATGGCGGTCAACACAGCTGAGGGAAAGCTGCTCAAACCAGGGCAGTATGTGAAGCCAAACTTCAGACACACAGAGCCTGAGCCCCAAGCCAGTACTCCTGGCTCCCTGAGATTGGCCCAGCCTCCCCAGAGCCTGCCACTGGGCAGACCTAAACAGGCCACACTACCACCTTCCTCAAGTGCCCCAGCTGGTAGGAGTGCTTCACTAAGCAGAGCCTTCAGCCTGGCTTCAGCAGACCTTCTTCGTGCTAGTGGGCCAGAAGGATACAGACAAGAATCTCCACCGAAGCTTGGGGGAGATGCCCGTGGGGGCAAGGAACCAGGCAGCCAGACCCTCAGGCTCCCTCCGTCTTCCAGCCTGCACACCCTCTCCAGAGAGAGGCCCCAGTCTGCCAAGATCATTGGCTCTTCTCAGGGTCCCAGCTCCCGTAACCGTCAGTTTGACTCAAGGCGCTTCTCCTTGGCTCCCCCAAAGGAAGAGAGACTGCTTCCTCATCAGCAGTCTTCCACATCTCCCGCCATTTCCATGAGTGGCAGTGGGACGGGCATTTCCCAGCAGCAAGAACACCTCAGCCCCGGGGTAGGACAGCCCTTCTCATCCATACCTATCTCAGCGGCCAGGGCCAAACCCAAGACCCCACCACACACTGGGGAGGTGGCTACTATTGCTCCCGTCCGCATGATACCCCACCTTCCGGAGGGAGAAGGGGCCTCTTGGCAAGGCCAGAATGATGGATTCATGTCCACGAGCCAGACTAAAGCTCCCGATTCTGCTCACTCTCCTGGACTGGAGGAGTTCAGTAGAGGAGGAGGCTCAAAGAGTACCCCTGGGTCTCCTGAGCCTAGTGGGGACCAGCAGACTGTGTGGTACGAATATGGGTGTGTGTGACCTGTCCCCTGTTATAAGCAGAGCCATTCAGTGAAACTACTGATGCTTTGGTATCGGAGTATCTTGGCTTGACTTGTCGTCTTGGTTTTTGTTTTTTGCCTGTGGTGCAGGGAAGAAAGGGGCAGCTTTAGAATAAGGGAGGGGATTCTGAGGAGATTTTTTTTTAATTGAAACACTGTGCCAAGTCTTAAAGAGCATTCCACCCCCAAATTTGTAACATGTCCTGTTTTATCTGCTGCTTCCAGTAATTTATTTCTCCTGAATGAAGTACACTTTAGCATGGTCAATATTTAAAATTAAATGTTAAAATTTTCCTTCCCTCTGTTCCAGACACTATCATAAATCCCTACTAAGACACTTATTTTGTTTTTGTACTTTTGGAACCAGTCTTTAAGAACAGACACATTCATAAAATTGAAAGCTGGTTTGAACTGGGTTGGTGTAAAAGAAATTCAAGGTGTCATCACTGTGAGTACTCTCTCCATAGACATGGACCTCTCCACTCATTAATAATAGTCTTTTTGATTTACTCTTTCTCTCCCTCTCCCCAACACCCCCTGCCCAAATTAATCTCTTGGTGGCCAATTTTCTGGTGATAACTTTTCCAAATTTAGCTAGATTGGCTAGCAGGTAATGGATGTATGTTCTATCGCTAGGCCCCATCCTCAGAGCTTTCTTACATGGAAGGATCAGCCCAAGCTTGCAATCCACTCCTGGAAAAAATAGAGAAAACAAGTCATCAGAGGACTTTAAGTGGAAGTTGAGGATTGGGAGCAGGGTTTACATTAGGCCCAAATCAGTCCCAAGAGATAACTGAGAACCATTGTGTTAACCAATGCAGCTATCATGGGGGAATGTCCCAGAGCTGAGTTTATTTTTAAAAATGAAGCCTTCAGCAGCTAGGTTTTAAAAGTCCCAAGTACCCTGTGGATCCTTAATCCAAGGATTCTTTGTTTGCTTTGACACTGGTGATAGACAGGGTTAAGTCAGGGTGCTTACCTGCCAACACACTCCAGGTAGCATATGCCTCAGCTTTCAAGCCCCAAGAGCAAAGCTGAGTTACCTTTCCTTTATTTTTTCTACAAACACTGGAGCTAATATGTTCTGGGACATATTATAGAAGATGGCCCTGGGGAAAGTAAGAGGAAGGCTATTTCCCAGGCCTACCATTTGTAAATAACATGTAAATGAAAAGAGGCTTAGGGGCTTCCCCCACCCCCCTTATAGGGGATGACCATTTCTCTCTCTCTGAATAATTTTTCAGAGTAGAAACCAAATTTCTTTTAATATATTATATATATAATCTATAAACACACACACATTGGGGAGGGGGGAATCTATTTATGTTTCCTGTGGGTGTTCCTCTTTTCTGTCAGGAATCTCCTTGGCTGCTTGTATGTATCTGATCAGACTCATGTCATTCATTCTGTCTCAAAGTTGTTTATAAAGGTGCTTTTCCTGTGATATATGAAAACGATTTTTTTTTTCCTCCCTAAAGATGTCCCTTTTGGTGATTTGCTGACTTGATCTGGTGAGAGGGATGGAAAGAAATTGTAAAATGTTAATAAGATTGCTTTAGGAGTTGTTCCTGGTAACTTGTAGTAAACCACATTCTGGAACACAAAGACAGGATTTTAATAAAAGTGGAGAAAGAAACGTGCTGGGCTCTGTTTTTGTATAACAGAATATTTCTTTGGAGAAAGCTGCCAGGAGCTTTCTGTCTTTACCGCTTAATTATTAAGCTGTCTTCATTTGTAATCTGGCTGCGGATGCTGTAAGTGCTAGCTTGCTTTCCTGAGACCCTTGTGACAGGCAGGCATTTTAAATGTGCTAGAGAGCAGCAGAGAATACACTTAGACCTTTCTTTATACAATACAGGCTTTCTTGAAAAACTGGATAAATTGAATTTTTTTCTTAATCTTATTTTTATTGATATCTTTTTTTAACACTGCTTTCTTTTTCAAATATTTCCCCCACCTTACCCAGAAAGTTTTTTTTTTTTTAAGATAAACAGAAAACCCAACATAATCAACTCTAACAGTATATGCAGTAGCCCACACCCATAGTCTTCTACCTCTGCAAAGAAAGAAGGAAACTACGTTGTCTCAGCTCGTCTTGAGGAGGCCGAGCTTAGTCATAGTTACATAGTTACATAGCATTCAGTTAGAGGTTTTTGTACTTTATGTTTTATAGGTATTCGTTTTCTTTTCTCTTCTGTATCAGTTTATATTAATCTTCCCTTCTCTAAGGTGGATGGAATTTTGTGAATTAAGTCTAATATTAAATGGCCTATAAGCTATGTGTATTAAGGAAATCCAGTGAATAGTTTTGTGATATAAATTTATCCCCACTCTATAGTATAAAGAGCATTAAAGTCGGGGGACAGAGCGCCTGAGTTCAAATTCTGATTCAGCTACTTGCTTCCTGGGTAGCCTCAAGTCTAGTCTAGGTCTTGGTTTACTCAACTACAAAATTAAAGGTTTAGACTTGATAATTCCTAAGGTCCTTTCCAGCTCCTATACTCTGTTTTAAAAGGCAAGATTTTAATAAAACACCATTTTAACTGCACAAATACAGAATGGGAAGGCATGATTAGACACGAGAGATGGCTCTGGGGTTTTTTGTGGACTTCAAGCTCAGTATGGGTCAACAACAAGTCATGGTAGCCCAAGAAATTTAGCATGGACTTAGGTTACATTAGAAGAGGTATAATGTCCAGGGCTAGGTGGCACAGTGGATAGAGTGCCAGGCCTGGAGTCAGGAAGACTCCTCTTCCTGAGTTCAAATCTAGCCACAGATACTAGTCCCTTAACCCTATTTGTTTCAGTTTCCTTATCTGTAAAATGAGCTGAAGAAGGAAATGGCAAACCATTCTAGTATCTTTTCCAAGAAGACCCCAAATGGGGTCATGAAGAGTCAGACACAGCTGAAAAACAACTGAACAGTGATATATCCAGGGCAGCGAGAAGCAAGAGTCTTAGTATATTAAGTCTTAGGTCGTATCTGGAGTGTTATGATACTAGCATTTATATAACCTTTTAAAGTTTGCAATGCATTTCACACATATCTCATTTTATCTTCACAGCCCTGAAAGGTAGGTACTGCCATTATCTTTGTTTTACAGTTGAGAAGCAGGTGGAGGTTAAGTGATTTACCTAGAGTACGTGTGAAAGGCCAGACTTGAACTCAAGTCTTTTAGACTCCAGGTTCAGTGCACAGCTCTGGGCACCATATTTTAGGGAGAACATTTATAGGCTGTACTCTCTCTGCAGTAGTGAAGAGGCTAGAACTTACGGCATACAAACAGCTATTGAAGAAAGCAGAAAGCTTAAAGGAGTTAAGATCGAAGGGGTCCAGTGATTCATATCAAAGTGGGGTGAGACTTTTCTGCTTGGTTGCGGAGGTTACAACTGGGAGGGAGCAAGTTAGGCGGTTTTGGGGTTCAATGTAAGGAAAAGTTACCTACTGGTTAGAACTGTCCTCAAATGGAACGAACAGCCTTAGTGGCTAGTGGATTCCGCTGAAGGCCTTCCAGGAGAGAAATGGTAACTGCTTGTCTGTGTTGTTCTTCCTTTGTATTGGAAGAGGGACCAAAGTGACATCACAGTGTCATCGATGGGCAGTGTGTCTGGCTGTGGCTGATCAGACCAGTATGGGCTCAGAAGGCTCTCCCACAAGTCAGACACAAATAGTCTGTATGAACTTTCAGGATAGAGTTGTCTCTAAATTTGCACATCTCGCATTTTTTTTTGAGTTGATTTTTTTTTTATTTTCACATTAGTCATGTTGTAAGGAAGAATTAGAGCCAATAGAAGGAATGACAAGAAAGAGGAAACAAAACAAAACAGAAGAAAAAAAATAGCAAATAGTATGGTTCAGTCTGCATTCCAACTCAGTCATTCTTTCTTTGTATGTGGATAGCATTTTCCATCATGAGACCTTTGGAGATGTCATAGATCCTTGTATTGCTGAGAAGGGTTAAGTCTATCAATGTGACTTTTACTGTGTACATCGTTCTCCTGGTTCTGCTCACTTCACTCAGCATCAGACCGTACAAGTCTTTCCAGGTTTTTCTGAAGTCCACTTGCTCATTCTTTCTTATAGCACGATAGTATTCCATTACATTCATATCAGTTATTCCCCAATTGATTGGCATCCCCTCAATTTCCAATTCTTGGCCACCACAAAAAGAGCTGCTGTAAATATTTTTGTACATATGGGTCCTTTTCCCATTTTTATGATCTCTTCGGAATACAGCCCTAGAAGTGCTATTGCTGGATCAAAGGGTATGCACATTTTTATAGCCCTTTGGGCATAATTCCGAATTGCTCTCCAGAATGGTTGGATCATTTTACAACTCCACCAACAATTCATTAGTGTTCCAATTTTTCCACATCTTCTCCAACATTTATCATTTATTTGTTTTGTCATGTTGGCCAATCTGATAGGTGTGATGGGGTACCTCAGAGTCATTTTTGATTTTCATTTCTCTAATCAATAGTGATTTAGAGCATTTTTTCATATGACTATAAATAGCTTTAATTTCTTCATCTGAAAACTGCGTTTTCATATCCTTCGGCCATTTATCAGTTGGGGAATGACTTGTATTCTTGTAAGTTTGACTTAGTTCTCTATATATTTTAGAAATGAGTCTCTTATCAGAGACACTGGTTGTGAAAATTCTTTCTCAGTTTTTTCCTTCCCTCCTAATCTTGGTTGCTTTGGCTTGGTTTGTGCAAAACCTTTTCAATTTAATGTAATCACAATTATAGGATCGATTATTTTGAGCCAGAAGGGACCATCTAGTCCCTCCCTCTCACTGCAGATGAGGAACCGAGGTTCCAGAAACAAACTGAGCCCTGAAACACACCCAGCTACAGGGATTCGAACCCTCTGACTCCAGTTTGAATTCTCTCCACTTCACTGCACTCACCTCCTATGAGTGGCTTGATCAGAGTTAATAATAAAAATGCCCAACATTTATATAGTGCTTACTGTGTGCCAGGCACTGTGATAAATGCTTCACAATTTTTTAATCCACTCGATCCTCACGGTGACCCTGGGAGGTAGGTGCTGTTGTTGTCCCTATTCTGGAGTCAGAGGACCTGAGTTTAAATCCCCTGTGTGACCTTAGCCAGATTGTTTAACCTCTTTAGAACTTACTGTCCTTACCTGTAAAATAAAAGGTTGGATTAGGTGACCTCTAAGGTCCGGTCCCTCCAGCTCTGAACCTGTGATCCTATGATGTGTGACTTCTTTGTGCTCGGCCTTCCTGGGTGCTTGGTGGGTATGAGACATGGTTCTTACTTGCAAGGAGTATGTGCTATAGAGGGCAGCTAGGCGGTGCAGTGGATAGAACCCTGGACCTGGAGTCAGGAAGACCTGAATTCAAATCCTGCTTCAAACATTTAACTAACTATGTGACTTGGGGCAGGTACTGAAGGGGCTTGCCATTTCCTTCTCCAGCTCATTTTACAGATGAGGAAACTGAGGCCAACAGTTAAGCGGTTTGCCTAGGGTCACACAGCTAGCAAGTGTCTGAGGCTGGATTTGAACTCGGGTCTTCCTGACTCCAGAGCTGGCACACTATCCACTGTGCCCCCTAGCTGCCCCAATCCACTCATTTGGCAAATAAGGAAATAGCTCTTACACAAAGCTGGTTGTCGTCCTACTTGGGTCTTCTGGTACCAAATCCAATGTGCTTCCACTATGCCAACCTGTTGAAGTGACTTCAGCTTTATTTCATAAGATTATAGATTTGGAGCTGGAAGGGACATTGGAAATCATCTACCCAACACCCTCTGCCTCAGTTTCCTCAACTGTAAAATGTGCGTAATGCACCTACTTTCCAAGATGGTTGTCAGGGTAAAATAGTATTACACTGTTAAGCATCTATAATGAAGAGATGAGGGTGTGGGGCGGGCAAACGTATGTTTTATTAGGACACAGATAATAGGGTGTCAGTAGCAGATTGTAATCAGCAGCAGTCGTTCAGGACAACTGGGCAGGCTAGAAGAGACTGAGCCAGGGCACTATGTTAGGTCTGCAGATCACGAAATGCAATAGAGAAAACTGGCAAATGGTCCGACCACCAGGTGGCCTGGTGGCAGTGGAGGTGGGGAGGGCTTGAGTATAGAAAGGGGAATGGGGGCAGCTAGGTGGCACAGTGGATAGAGCACCGGCCCTGAAGTCAGGAGGACCTGAGTTCAAATCCGGCCTCAGACCAAACACTTGACACTTACTAGCTGTGTGACCTTGGGCAAGTCACTTAACCCTAACTGCCTTTAAAAAAAAAAAGAAAGAAAGAAAGGGGAATGGATATTCTGTGCAGTAAGAGCACTGGACTTAAAGTCAAGAAGACCTGAGTTCAGATCCTACCTCAGACACTTAACCAATAGTGTGACTCTGGGCAAATTACTTAACCTCTCTTGGCCTCCTTGTCTGTAAAATGGAGAAGACAATAGAGCATTATCAGGGCAAATGGCAAAAATATGGCCAAAGTGAAGCTGGTTCTTACCGGTTTAGGGTTGGTTAGATACAGTAGGCAAGCCCTAAGACACCATCCAACTTCAAACATTCTGTATTAATTATACTGAAGGGTATATTTTTATTTTTTTACTTTTTTAATCTAGCCTCAGCCTTCTCTTCTTCCTGAA